GGCTGGCTGACGGATCTGGCTGCTCATGGCTGGCTGACGGATCTGGCTGCTCATGGCTGGCTGACGGATCTGGCTGCTCATGGCTGGCTGACGGATCTGGCTGCTCATGGCTGGCTGACGGATCTGGCTGCTCATGGCTGGCGGAAGGCTCTGGCTGATCCTGTCTGGCGGAAGGCTCTGGCTGATCCTGTCTGGCGGAAGGCTCTGGCTGATCCTGTCTGGCGGAAGGCTCTGGCTGATCCTGTCTGGCGGAAGGCTCTGGCTGATCCTGTCTGGCGGAAGGCTCTGGCTGATCCTGTCTGGCGGAAGGCTCTAGCGGCTCCGGTCTGGCGGACGGCTCTGAAGGCTCATGGCAGACGGGCGGCTTATGCAGCGCTTGGCAGACGGACAGTTCAGACGGCGTTGGGCAGACAGGCAGTTCAGGCGCCGTTGGGCAGACGGGCAGTTCCAGCGCCGTTGGGCAGACGGGCAGTTCAGGCGCCGTTGGGCAGACGGGCAGTTCAGGCGCCGTTGGGCAGACGGCAGACTCTGGCCGAGCGACGCGCACCGTAGACTTGGTGCGGGTGGCAGGAACAGGCCGGACCGGGCTGGCGACGCGCACCGTAGACTTGGTGCGGGTGGCAGGAACAGGCCGGACCGGGCTGGCGACGCGTACCGTAGACTTGGTGCGGGTGGCAGGAACAGGCCGGACCGGGCTGGCGACGCACACCGTAGACTTGGTGCGGGTGGCAGGAACAGGCCGGACCGGGCTGGCGACGCACACCGTAGACTTGGTGCGGGTGGCAGGAACAGGCCGGACCGGGCTGGCGACGCACACCGTAGACTTGGTGCGGGTGGCAGGAACAGGCCGGACCGGGCTGGCGACGCACACCGTAGACTTGGTGCGGGTGGCAGGAACAGGCCGGACCGGGCTGTGGAGACGGATAGGAGGCCTGGAGCGAACAGCGGACACCACCCGTCCTGGCTGAATGCCTACCCTCACACACTCTGTGTGAGGCATCCGCACAGGACATACAGGGCGGTGTACCCCTGGCCTGGTGGCCTCCTGGATACTCCCCCTTTTCTCCTCCGTCAGCCCCGTCGTCCATGCCGTGTGCCCCCCCCTAAAAATTTTCTGGGGTTGACTCACGACCCTCCGACGATGGCCCTGCTGCCGCCGTTGCTCCTCTCTCGCCAGGGCCTTGATCCTTCCCCAAGGTCCCTTGCCTCCGAGCATGTCCTCCCAGGACCACGATGTGCCCACCTGGGCCATCGCCAGCCTCTCTATCTCCTTGCCCGGCGCTTCCTCCCATGTCCAGTCTCCTTGCTCCTGGACACGCTGCTTGGTCTTTCTTTGGTGGGTTTTTCTGTCACGACCGTCTGAGGAAGCGGACCAATACGCAGCGCGTTGAGTGAACATGATGACTTTATTAAAGAAAGCACATAACTACAAAACAAAATACGATCGTGAAGTCCTACAGTGACTAATACTGAACCTGGAACAAAAACCCACAACCACAAGGTGAAAACACACAGTATAAATATGGCTCCCAATCAGAGATAACGAGCCGACAGCTGACACTCGTTACCTCCGATTGGGAGTCACTGACCAAACACGGAAACAAAACCAAAACCAAACACAACAAATGAACACACCCTAACCCAACACAACCAAATGAATACACCCTGGCTCAACCAACACAGTCCCGGAGCCAGAGCGTGACAAGCATAAGAATAGCATATGTTTCTGAACACTTCTACATGAATGTGGATGCTACCATGATTAAAGATAATCATTAATAAATCACAAATAATGATTACAGAGGCATGATGATTACAGAGGCATAAATATCATACCCCCGAAAAAATTGTAACCTCCCCTGTTATTGGTAATGGTGAGAGGTTAGCACGTTTTGGGGGCATGATCTTTGTGCATCTGTAACTAACTTAAATGGGCGGACTAGATACATAAAGTGCTTTCATTTCTAAACGGTAAAACTGATATGTATGAAAATACCCTGAAATAAAAGGTGACATTCTGTACTGTCGCCTCATATAAAACATTTGATCTCAAATCCAAAATGCTGGAGTATAGAGCCAAATTTAAAGTTTTAGCTTCACTGTCCAAATAAATACATTGGGGAGTGCAGGTCGAGTCAGCGTTTTTTCAAATTGTCATTGTAATTTTATTTTGAGAACTGTTTTGTGGTAAATGGCAATCCAAGCCCGCCAGCATACATCCTTGTGTTAGATTAATTGTAATAAAATCTATTTTTTGTGATAATCCTGTATGTGTTGCGTTTCCATATCCATTACCTAGTTCAGGTCTCCATTAACTCTACCCTACCCAAGAACCTGGTTGATAAAGTACGGCATCACCACTCCCTGTACTCCATGTTATTGCTAAAGAGACTGGCCTTTCTGCCATCTTCAATTATGAACATTCTATCATTAATGAGCATGAGGAGAACAGAGGACTTGATCCTGATTCGATCACCCTCATTCTATCAAAAGTTAATAGAATCATGTCTAAATTCTCAAACAACAATTCCAACCACAAAAGGTGCCTAGCTAACAGCTAAATATTAGTTTTTTACTTTGTTATACATTCTAATTCTATTTTTGAGGCTCCACATGTTGTCATGGAAAATATTAATGTTATTTCCAACAACCAATGAGCAACTCCGCTGTAAATCCAGTGCATAACTTGAACATTGAGATTGCAGAAAGGACAGTCTCTTTGGCAATAACAAGGAGTGGCAAGGAGTCGAATGTTAGCTAAAGAGACCGGTAGTCAGACTATGTAGGCCATGCCTCTTCCCATACAAGGCAAGCCCACATTGGATGAAGAACCGCCCTGGGCATGAGCTTTAAAAAGCCTTGCTCAGGTAATAAAATGCATACTTTGCTTTTCGCAAGCATGCTGGAGGTGAGTACATGGTCCGAGTTAAGTTCTTTGAGAAATGTTCTTTAAACTGTCTTTTGTCCTAGTTTGTCACTTCTCATACTGCTTTCCATTGGTTTGAAATGACCACATGCTTTATTTGGATTACTTAAAGCTTACTGCTAGAATGGTGTTTATCCATTGGTTTTCTCAATGCTATGTCTGTTGAAACTTTCACTGTCTTAGGCTCTTGAACGTGCCACATGCTAAATGAGAAATACACTATATACAGTATACACAAAGTACAGTTGAAACGTACAGTTGAAGTCAGAAGTGTACATACACGTAGGTTGGAGTCATTAAAACTAGTTTTTCAACCACTCCACAAATTTCTTGTTAACAAACTATAGTTTTGGACATCTACTTTGTGCATGACACAAGTAATTTTTCCAACAATTGTTTACAGACAGATTATTTCACTTATAATTCACTGTATCACAATTCCAGTGGGTCAGAAGTGTACATACACTAAGTTGACTGTGCCTTTAAACAGCTCTGGAAAATTCCAGAAAATGATGTCATGGCTTTAGAAGATTCTGATAGGCTAATTGACATCATTTGAGTCAACTGGAGGTGTACCTGTGGATGTATTTCAAGGCCTACCTTCAAACTCAGTGCCTCTTTGCTTGACATTGTAGACCTTCACAAGTCTGGTTCATCCTTGGGAGCAATTTCCAAACGCCTGAAGGTAACACATTCATCTGTACAAACAATAGTATGCAAGTATAAACACCATGGGACCACGCAGCCGTCATACCGCTCAGGAAGGAGACGCGTTCTGTCTCCTAGAGATGAACGTACTTTGGTGCAAAAAGTGAAAATCAATCCCAGAACAACAGCAAAGGACCTTGTGAAGATGCTGGAGGAAACAGGTACAAAAGTATCTATATCCACAGTAAAACGAATCCTATATCGACATAACCTGAAAGGCCGCTCAGCAAGGAAGAAGCCACTGCTCCAAAACCGCCATAAAAAAAGACAGACTACGATTTGCAACTGCACATGGGGACAAAGATCGTACTTTTTGGAGAAATGTCCTCTGGTCTGATGAAACAAAAATAGAACTGTTTGGCCATAATGACCATCGTTATGTTTGGAGGAAAAAGGGGGTTGCTTGCAAGCCGAAGAACACCATCCCAACCGTGAAGCACGGGGGTGGCAGCATCATGCTGTGGGGGTGCTTTGCTGCAGGAAGGACTGGTGCACTTCACAAAATAGATGGCATCATCAGGAAGGAAAATTATGTAGATATATTGAAGCAATATCTCAAGACATCATTCAGGAAGTTAAAGCAAATGGGTCTTCCAAATGGACAATGACCCCAAGCATACTTCCAAAGTTGTGGCAAAATGGCTTAAGGACAACAAAGTCAAGGTATTGGAGTAGCCATCACACAGCCCTGACCTCAATCCTATAGAAAATTTGTGGGCAGAACTGAAAAAGCGTGTGCGAGCAAGGAGGTCTACAAACCTGACTCAGCTACACCAGCTCTGTCAGGAGGAATGGGCCAACATTCACCCAACTTATTGTAGGAAGCTTGTGAAAAGCTACCCAAAACGTTTCACCCAAGTTAAACAATTTTAAGGCAATGCTACCAAAAACTAATTGAGTGTATGTAAACTTCTGACCCGCTGGGAATGTGATGAAAAAAATAAAAGCTGGAATAAATCATTCTCTCTACTATTATTCTGACATTTCACATTCTGAAATTAAAGTGGTGATCCTAACTGACCTATGACAGGGATTTTTTACTAGGATTAAATGTCAGGAATTGTGAAAAACTGAGTTTAAATGTATTTGGCTAAGGTGTATGTAAACTTCCGACTTCAACTGTATGTGGACACCCCTTCAAATTAGTGGATTTGGCTACTTCAGCCAAACCCGTTGCTGACCGGTATATAAAATCGAGAACACCACCATGCAATCTCCATTGCCAGTAGAATGGCCTTACTGAAGAGCTCAGTGACTTTCCAACAAGTCAGTTCGTCAACTTTCTGCCCTGCTAGAGCTGCCCCGGAAATATGCTTGCCTTCTAGGGCATGTATTGGAGTGTTTTATTTGTGTATTTTCTTTTTAGATGGGTGTGAGTCTATGGAGCAGCTTGCTGTTAGTTCAGACTCTTTGTTTGACATCAGTTGATGCCTACCCCAATGGAGAAGTGACTGAATCCTGTGGGAATATGATGCCAAAACACAGTCATGCCCCCAATACCACCCAATGTCCCTACACTCTGGCTGTCAATGTCACTCATTTCAGTTCAGGAGATTACATCCAAGGTAATGATAACAGTTTGGTAATACAATAGACTAATATATTCAGCAATTATTCTAAGACAATGGAAATAGAAAGCTTCTTAATTATTAAATCCAATGTATTTTGGGGTGTAACCTTCATCTGGGTATTTCCAGACAGAAGTTAAAGGAGGTTTGTCAATACATTTCACATCCTCTGTTTTTCTATAGCTCCTGTGTACAATAAGCGGAACAGAAACATGCTAGGATCAAAAGAGAGGATGTGAAATATCCAGAGGACTAGACATGCACCCATTTTTATCAGCCTTTTATTTAATTGTCATTGAAATATTTGTTCTGGGTCCAACACATGCACACTCATACACTGTCATGTAATGTCCCTAGTTACCATATCTGGAACGACATACTTTGAGGGCTTCCTGCTTGAGGCTCGGAATGCATCCAATCCAGACTCTGATGCTGTCGGCTCCTTCACCCTAACCAATCCTAAAACCACACAACTGTTGAAATGTGGCCACACTCCGGTAGGCCTACTTACCTTTACGCAAAGAGGTCAATGGATTTATTTTCATTTGGCTTAGAATGAATCAATTACAATGACCTTAGGTTACGCATGGCCTCAATACTCTAAATTTCTTGCAATTTCTTGTAGTTATTTTTCTGTTTTTGTTGCTATTTAGGGTTCAGCTGTCAGTCACACAAGTGATGCCAGACAGACAAAAATCGTGGTAATCTGGAACGCTCCCCAAAACTCTCCAGATGCTGTCGAATTTCTGTGAGTGTTTAGAGTCCATCTGATTCCCACTGCATTCCCTGTCTCACACATGCATTTTCATTACATGCTATGGTCTCTTACGCTCTACAGCTATAATTATATCCTGAGTGTACAGTTAACAATGCATTTGTGTGTTTCTGAATTAAGTGTGACGGTAGTGGCTCATTACAATACTTTCTGGGTGAAAATCCCCGGTCCGGTTGTGTCTCAGAGTGGGGTGCCTCCCATCCCACCTAAACCCACCACACCTTCCACTACCATAAAGACGTCAACTCCCTCTGTGTTGCCCAGACCAGTAAGTCATATTTAGTAATATAATGGAATATAAACATACTGTACATTACTGTATGTTTTGGTACAGAAACCCCCCTTTCATGCTCTCTCTGTCTGTCTGTGTCTCTCTCTGTTTGTCTTTCTGTCTGTTTCTCTCTCTGTTCTCTCTCACTGTCGCTCTCTCTCTCTTCCTCTCTTTCTTGATGCCTCCTCCTGTCTCAGTTCAGCTCAGTGGGTTGTGGCCAACAGAAGTCCTGCCTGTTGGACCCAGCGGGATGTGACCCTGAAAAAGATTCAACGTGCTTCTTCCTGTCGTTCGCCCCCAAGGGACAGTGTGTGGAGTTTGAGCTCAGTGGGCCCTCAGACGGCTACATTGCCTTCGCCCTCTCCCATGACACATGGATGGTAAGTTAGCATTTTAGCATCATTGATAACTTGCTAGGTAAGTTACTGTAGCATTATGCTGTAATGGTATGCTTTTCATTCCCTCCTTTTTCTGTTAATAGGGGGATGATGACGTGTACCTATGTGTGAGGGATGACAGCTCGGTGGATGTGAGCGCAGCTTATGTCAAAGGAAGGTCCCACCCAGAGGAGGCCTCTGAGGTGAAACCCCACAGTATATGACTTGAATTATACGTCTCTCTTTTATAGGCCTACCTGATAGGGTTTAATATTTTCCCGATATTTTACAAATGTTCCATCCCGAGAATAAATCACTTTTTTCCCGGGTACCCGGTATTTCCCACCAAAACCGGAAGTGTCATTCAAAAGCATTATAAAGCATATAAATAGGCCTATGTCTGGATTTGATTCGAGCTTTGATCGAACATTCAAGCCTGATGCTACCTGAGCCTGATGAGCCATACATTAAATACATTTATAAGCCCTACATTAAAAACATTTAATGAGACCAAGCCCAAAAAGGCCAAATGATTGTGACGTTATCCAATATATATATGAAATATAATATGGCCTATTTGTATAATTATTAGGCTGACGCATATATACCTTTTATAATATTTCCCCTAATGTTATTACCTACCTCCTCTCTCTCTATTGTTGCTTCATTCCTTACTCACTTTCAATAGTTAAATGATATACAGTTGAAGTCGGAAGTTTACATACACCTTCGCCAAATACATTTAAACTCAGTTTTTCACAATTCCTGACATTTAATCCTAGTAACAATTCCCTGTCTTAGGTCAGTTAGGATCACCAATGTGCAATGTCAGAATAATAGTAGAGATAATTATTTATTTCAGCTTTTATTTCTTTCATCACATTCCCAGTGGGTCAGAAGTTTACATACACTCAATTAGTATTTGGTAGCATTGCCTTTAAATTGTTTAACTTGGGTCAAACGTTGCGGGTAGCCTTCCACAAGCTTCCCACAATAAGTTGGGTGAATTTTGGCCCATTCCTCCTGACAGAGCTGGTGTAACTGAATCAGGTTTGTAGGCTTCCTTGCTCACACACACTTTTTCAGTTCTCCCCACACATTTTCTATAGGATTGAGGTCAGGGCTTTGTGAAGGCCACTCCAATACCTTGACTTTGTTGTCCTTAAGCCATTTTGCCACAACTTTGGAAGTATGCTTGGGGTCATAGTCCATTTGGAAGACCCATTTGCGACCAAGCTTTAACTTCCTGACTGATGTCTTGAGATGTTGCTTCAATATATCCACATAATTGTCCTTCCTCATGATGCCATCTATTTTGTGAAGTGCACCAGTCCCTCCTGCAGCAAAGCACACCCACAGCATGATGCTGCCACCCCTGTGTTTCACGGTTGGGATGGTGTTCTTCAGCTTGCAAGTACCCCCTTTTTCCTCCACACATAACAATGGTCATTATGGCCAAACAGATCTATTTTTGTTTCATCAGACCAGAGGACATTTCTCCAAAAAGTACGATCTGGTCCCCATGTAAATTGCAAACCGTAGTCTGGCTTTTTTATGGCGGTTTTTGGAGCAGTGGCTTCTTCCTTGCTGAGCGGCCTTTCAGGTTATGTTGATATAGGACTCATTTATTGTGGATATATATACTTTAGTACCTGTTTCCTCCAGCATCTTCACAAGGTCCTTTGCTGTTGTTCTGGGATTGATTTGCACTTTTCGCACCAAAGTACGTTCATCTCTAGGAGACAGAACGCGTCTCCTTCCTGAGCGGTATGACGGCTGCGTGGTCCCATTGTGTTTATACTTGCGTACTATTGTTTGTACAGATGAACGTGGTACCTTCAGGCATTTGGAAATTGCTCCCAAGGATGAACCAGACTTGTGAAGGTCTACAATTTTTTTCTGAGGTTTTGGCTGATTTCTTTTGATTTTCCCATGATGTCAAGCAAAGAGGCACTGAGTTTGAAGGTAGGCCTTGAAATACATCCACTGGTACACCTCCAATTGACTCAAATTCATTTTCTTGAATTTTCCAAGCTGTTTAATGCACAGTTAACTTAGTGTATGTAAACTTCTGACCCACTGGAATTGTGATACAGTGAATTATAAGTGAAATAATCTGTCTGTAAACAATTGTTGGAAAAATTACTTGTGTCATGCACAAAGTAGATGTCCTAACTGACTTGCCAAAACTATAGTTTGTTAACAAGAAATTTGTGGAGTGGTTGAAAAACAAGTTTTAATGACTCCAACCTAAGTGTATGTACACTTCTGACTTCAACTGTACGTTTCGTTGTCCTTATCTTCATCATTCTAAAGACATCCTTGAATAATATAGGACTAGAATCAGATGCAGAAGCCGTTCACTTCTCTTCACAAAGATTTAAAGGTCATGGGTCTGAATAAATAACTGCTAAAGCCTACCACCATCCTGCGTTCGTTCTTCTTTCAAACCACCATCGTGAGTTCTATTGGCTGCTGTATTTAACATTCAGCAAACAAGAGCTTGAGTCCCTCTTCGAATAGTCTATCGGTATAAGACATGCAACAACAACAAAAATGGCCAGCAAGCTATTCCAGTCTAGCTTTTCCTGCATGGGACTCCAAGAGTTAAGGAGCGTTTTTTAAGGAAAGAGGCCAGCTGAGCACAGGTGCGTGCATTTTGCGCAAGCGACAGAGGCTATAAGTTAGAAGCTTATTATGCATAACCCATCATTAATTAGTTAAACATAAGGCTAATACTGCATTGAATGTATTACCTGAAAGAGGTAGGCTAGGACATCTATATATATATATATATATATATATATATATATATATATATATATATATATATATATATACATGTATAGGGCTATATATCAATCTAGAACAGGATTATCTATTTTGGATGCAATTTGAATGGAGTTGATGGAGAGAGAGACAGACTGTGAGAGAGTGCTTGTGCGTGCACTGATTTAAAGCAACAATATTTGAGTGACAGGCTGTTTTATAACTCTGCAGCTGCAATATCTATCTTTACAATAAAAAAATAAAGTAAACCCCAAAAGCCAGATGGAGATCTGTAAATCAGACGCTCATTCGGTCTTTATATTACGCGGCAGCAAATGTAGGCCTACCTGTCACAAGAACAAAGGTTACCATGATGAGATGATAGGTCTACATGCATTGTGAACTGCGCTCCATATTGAGATGTGCTGTCTGTCCCCACCCTGAGAGTTGATGATTCATCATGCAGAGGCCGTAGAGAAGCCAGATTTAGACATCGCATATAATTTAACAGTTCCATTTCACACCATGCTGTTCATATAAATAATATATTATAATTTACCGGTTTCTCACAGTTATTTATCCTGGGAAAAAGGAGTGGTTTTGGGCGATAAATCCCTGTAAATCTCGGTAACCGGGTTCCCGTCATTCAACCCTGCTACATGTCCTCTAGTTCAGCCTGCTATATGTGTAGCACTGTAACTGTTGTATGGCTGACTTGGCCACAAGCTAGAATTCCTTGAATGCCTGAAAATGAAACCTTCCTCAATCAGCATCAACTCATCAATATGAGTTATGATAATCAAACATGACATTACTATAACTTATTAGATCAGGCGTATTATAATCATTTACTTAAACTGAGTATCTTATATAGAAGATATGTATAGACACGCCATTGTTTCCTTTTCCTATAGAATGTTCTTACAGATGTGGCCTGGAGATTGGCGGATGGAGTAATTCAGTGTCGGTTTCGTCGACGCGTTCTTGTCCCACAGGACGCGACCCGGTTTAGTCTGGACGCACAGTACTACCTGTTCATGGCATACGGTGAAGCTGAATACGGTGAGTTGCAATATGATATACGATCACGGTAAGGTTTTGTACCTGTCCAATAAGATAATGTCCAATATGATAAATAAGAGTAACCCAAAAAAAGAAAAAAGGGCAGAATGCTAAAATCATATAGATTAGATTTGAGCATACAGGTATAGATTGGACCTGTGATATAGTTTTTAATGTAGTAGTGTTGTGTGTAACTGCCTGTGTAACTCCTGAGTGGCGCAGTGGTCTAAGGCACTGCATCGCAGTGCTAACTGTCCCACTAGAGATCCTGGTTCGAATCCAGGCGCACAATTGGCCCAGCGTCGTCCAGGGTAGGGGAAGGAAATGGCCGGCAGGGATGTAGCTCAGTTGATAGAGCATGGCGTTTGCAACGCCAGGGTTGTGGGTTCGTTTCCCAGGGGGGGGGGGCAGTATAAAAAATATATATATGTATTCACTAACTGTAAGTCGCTCTAGATAAGAGTGTCTGCTAAATGACTAAAATGTTGATTTGAAATTGAAACCCTCTTAAGCCATGTTTCCACTGGCACTTAAAATTAGGGTCAAATTTGAGCTGGCTCAAATGGAATTCTCAAATTCGAGCTGTGTAGGGGGAAACCAAATAATTTTAGACTTTTACTCAAGTAGTATTTTACAGGGTTACTTTCACTTTTACTTGAGTAACTTTCTATTAAGGTATCTATACTTAATCAAGTATGACAATTACTACTTTTTCCACCACTGGACACAACGTTTAGCTAGCTCGTCTGGGCTTTTTTTGTTGCTGTTAGCTAGCACGTCTGGGCTTGTTGCTGTTAGCTAGCACATGGACAAGCAGTACTGCAGTAGTCAGATATGACATGAATTACCACCATAGCTGGATTCTTCATTCATTTTTGCGCTACACAATAAACTTTTATGAGAATAGTAAGCCCTCGAATGCTAGCTACCTAACGTTAGCCAGGAAATCAGAGTTGAAACTAGTTAGCCAGCTAATGTTAGCTAGCAGGAATGTTAGCTGACCAGGTCGTATTGAAAGCTAGCTAGCTACGTCATATCAAACCTGTCTTCTGGTTTGCTTGGTTAGCTAGTTAGCTAATAGCCAATGCCATGGCAAGCAAGGTATGAATTAAGCTAGACAGCTAGCTAGCCTGTTATGCTAGCGATGATGCTAACTGTTTAGCTAGCTAGCTAACGTTAGCAAGCAAAACATATTTGCTAAATACATGGTTCTGAGTCTGGCTGGCAGTGGCAGTAGTATGGGGTAAAGTTAGTTACAGCATGGCGGGTGAATAAAATTCTTCAACATCTTGCTACTGTAGCTAGCTAGCAACATTAGCGAAGCCAGCTGCACAGTCACGGCTACCTAGCAACATGACATCTTTTCTAATTTCTGGAGGCAGTAGAAGCCCGGGTTGACTTCAAAGTGCCAATGGCAACGGGCCTTTATAGTTCTGCATGTATAGATGCCCAATGACATATCATGTATTTCACACAAAGGTTATTATAGTAAACTAAAACTAAAACTAAAACGAATAAAAAAACTATTTAGGAAACTGAAATAAAATAATTAAGAAACACATTAGAAAAAATGAAACTATACTGAAACTACTATCTTTGACTCCAAAATTAAGTAAAATTAAATAAAAACATAAGAAATTATGTTCCGTTTTTTCTCTTTTAAACTTTGGCCAAAAATCTGTTTCAAATAGTTTGTGCATCACCATCATTAGCTATCTCTTTAGACAAAAGGCTTGCCTCCAACAATTTAACAATGTTCCAGCATACGACATGTCTTTACAAGTACTGCGTCATTTGGGACCTTCATATATACAGTCATTGGTTGGGACAGAGAGGAGTCAGAACAGGGAAGACCATCACTGCCTTATCTGGTGACGTCACTGTCTCATCCACTTGTTGCCCTAGCGTTAACCTAATGTAGTATCGAGTTAATGTGGCTAATTATGCTCTGAAACAAAGGAGTCTGCTTATACTGAGCTTTGATCATAAGTTTTATTCATATCACAAGATTTCAGCATAAGTTTACAGATGTCAAGATCATCCGGAGAGCAGTGTCCGAAAAGAATATGTCTGCTCTAATGTTCTTTGTCTCTAGCCCATACTTATAATCTTTACAAGAATATGGGTGGCTCCCTCTACTGTCCAATCACCTGTCTCCAACAAACAGACTCCCTCTGTTCTATGAGGTGTCACTCTAAAACGGCTCCCTCTGAAACGGAATAAACATCCTCTCAGGTTCCACTTAAAAACATTAGCAAAGTCATAATTCTCCATATACTACACTAACGTAGCAGGAGTAAAAAGACGCCTGAGCGGAGTCCCCATATCTGTTTTTCAGGGGAAATTAAAGTTAGGTTGAAAATACTGTATCCCTGAAAACCGAAAGCATTCGCTTTCTGCAGACTTCGCGGAGAGTGCCCGAGCTTAAACATCCCAGCTGGACACAAAGTACTAGCTAGCGAGATGGGGAATGCAGAGGTTATTTTCAATAAGTGCATTTCACTAGTTTGCATTGTAGTGTCTGAGGGTCTATGATTTTGCTGACATTTGCAAATGGTGTAATGGATGAACTCTACTCTGCTTTGCTGAAACATCTGGAAAGTATTACTACATAGGCTTCTTGGAATAGAGGACATTTGGACATATGTGGAAGCCGGGGATTGGTCTGTCAAAAACCACCCATCTTATGTTACATAGGATATAAATACCATGTTTTGAACAAAGGACGGGGAGAAACAACATATTAACAGATTGGGCCGTTGTTCTCCAGATATCTGCAGATGTCTGTAAATTGATACTGTGATCTTTGATACAATAAACCTTTATAATCAAAGTACAGTGTAAGCGGACTTCTTATCATCACAGCATAATTAGCAACATATTTTGAGACACCACAGCATCTTCTACCACTAAAACCTAGGCAAATGTTTTGCCTGCAAACTTTGGTTTCGAATCGCAACGTTCTGAGATGTCTGCCTACAGGCTACGGAAAGAATTTGATTTTTTCAGGCTTAGCCCGCCTACCCAAACTCGTGATTTGTTGGGAGAGTTGTCTGTCTGAAGAGGACCCCTTTTTTATGTCCAAGAGAATCTGACATCCTCCCCAGACCTTGTGCTGATGCTCTAGGCCTGGGATTTCCGAGACTACTAGCTATCACTAGCTAACAGGGAAGAACTAGAACCTACAACACATATATGGCTCCTAGCCTCCCAGTCATAGGAGCAATTCCATGGTAACGGAATTATGCTGAGACTCTGATTTTTTACTTTCAAATGTATGCCCCCAAAAAACATAACTTTAACTTTGGTTACAAGGCTTCCTCGCCTGTCATTTTACTGTTGCATCGTACATACACAATCTATGGGCTTTGGTGGGGAAGTGGGAACAAGGTCTTTCACACATTTTAGTAGTTATCTAATTACTGTACAAGGAAGGGCTGCATTGTAAATTGTTTCCTTTATGACATCCATTAGCAGATTGTATTTTGCACACATCTACATATCTTTGTACAGTACATCATAAAATATAAATGCAGAATGCAACTTCAGATCCGGTCTTCCGGATCTAAACTTTAGATCTAAACTCCCTGTCTTTACTCTAGTTATCTCCTAGTTCACAAAAATGTAATGTGTCAGTGTTTTTCTGTCAAATGAGGTCAAGGAGTTTGTGGTTTATGAGGTTGGCTTGAGTTATTGCCCTCAAGGTAAAGTCTCATAACAAACATTTATTTCACATTATTGTTTAATGACACCGACGCTTCCGCAACTGACTACCATGACAGTAAATGTCAGATCAATTCTGTGGTATAAATAAAATATTTTAGATTCTAGATTGAGACTTTCTATCATTTTAGGGGCATTGTGGGAAAAAAAGAAAATACTTTTCCCCTTAATGGCCACTTTATGACTTGTTTATGACGGAAATGATAAGACGTGAAAGAAGTGACAATATAGATGAAAGGTTTTGCGGATGAGGATAGAGAAGCGAAGAGTTTCTAATGCTGGCTCTGAAATGACTTCAACTCGTGCTGTCACACAACAGCATGCATCCTTTGAACTGTAGGTCCTATTTCTATAGATGGAGTCTTCCCGTTATAGCCCACTGAGCACAGATGTCAATTGAACATCTGTTCCACGTTGGTTTAAAGTAATTTCATTGAAATTACATGGAAACAACATTGATTCAACCATTGTGTGCCCAGTGGGATGTCACCTTCACTGACATATCAGTTGTATGTCATTCATGGTGACATATTACCTATATGAGAAACCTATAGCTACTGTAGGTGACTTGCTGCTAACTCGTCTCTCTCTCAAACCATTGTCTTGAGGCGAGGTGCACAGGCATGACCGCCAACCCCTCATATCCTCACAGCAGTCAGTCATCAACGGCCCAGCAGAGATTCTCACTGGCTCTCGATCACCACTCCTCATGAAATTTCACAGTGAGTGGACTGGAGACTGAAAATGATAGGCAAACAAATGTATAATTCTGTAACTACATAAAACCAACATTCAGCTCTATGAGCAATACCAAGTAAATATGTCATGTCAGACGGTCCACAATTTGATACATACAGTATTTCTTGACTTGATTTATGAATGATTTTGGCTCCTGTTAAAGTTTTTAGTCTGATGCCCATCTGTAATACCTGTTATCTCTTTTGTAATATCAGGCGTTCTGATGTTAATTGCATGGATGTTGGCTGGAAGCACAGGTACTTTCATAGCCAGCTACTTCAAGCCTGATTGGCCAGAGAAAACACTGTTCGGTCAGAAAATTTGGTTCCAGGTATGTAAAAGAAACTGATAAACTAACATCTGTGGTAAAAGTTGTCCTTACATTGATATGTCACTGCTTAAAGGTGATAAGCATCAACGTGTCCTGTGTTTGTCCAGGTGCATCGAGGGTTGATGATGTTAACAGTGCTGCTTACCTGTGTGGCCTTCACTCTTCCCTTCATCTACAGAGGAGGTTGGAGTAAGGTAAGCTACTAAGCATTAGCACACATAAAGTCCCTCTTATTCTGCCTCACGCTTGCGATGTTATGCACTGCTTTAACCTTGTTTAGCCAGCAGAGGGCATTGCATCTTGTTGTTGGATGAGGAGGATTTTCCTTAATTTTTCTATTTTGATTTTGAGTGCCTGATTATAATGTAACTGTCATGGAACGATTCAACCAAATCTATCTTAGAAATGTTTATGCAGCAGGGCTTTGTTTATGCTACTGACTGGATACTGTAATGCAGGTTAGATTAAACAGAGGCTTCAGCTGAAAAGTTGTTCAAATCAAATTTTATTTGTCACATGCTTTGTAAACAACCGGTGTAGACTAACAGTGAAATGCTAAATACTTACGGGTCCTTTTCCAACAATGCAGAGTTAAAGATAAAAAGAAAAGAAAACAGAAATAGTGGCACGAGGAATAAATACACAGTGAATAACGAAGAACAACAACGAGTACAAATAACATGGTTATATACAGGGAGTACCAGTACTGAGTCAATGTGCAGAGGTACAAGATAACTGATGTAGCTAGGTAGGGGTAAAGTGACTAGGCAACAGGATAAATAATAAACAGTAACAGCAGCAGTGAAAGTGTGTGTGTGTGTGTGTGTGTGTGTGTGTGTGTGTGTGTGTGTGTGTGTGTGTGTGTGTGTGTGTGTGTGTGTGTGTGTGTGTGTGAGTGGTGCGTCAGTGCATGTGTGCGCGTGTTATCTGTGTGTGGGCATATGAAGTGTGTGTGTGTGTGTGTGTGTGTGTTGGGTGTCAGTGTAAGTATGTGTGAGTGTGTGGGTAGAGTCCAGTGTGTGTGCATAGAGTCAGTGCAAGAGAGTTAGTGAAAAAAGTGTCAATGCAGGTAGTCCGGGTAAAAAAGTTGTTTGATTGCATCGAGGGCTTTAGTGTTTAATACAGAGGGTTTGTATGTCTTTCTCCAGAGTTCTGGGGCCCATCCCTACCTGGGATGTACTGTACTAGCCCTGGCTCTCCTTCAGCCTATCATGGCCACTCTCAGACCTCCCCCTGACTCCTCCAGGTAAAACCCTATCCACAGCCCAATTGACCACCAACCATCTCACATGGCCATACTCAAGTACTACATAATGGAAGATTCCAATGCTGGAAATGCTTTGCTAAACTGCTCGTAAACATTATTACATAGACCTCATACTAAATGGTTTATAATACACACATTTGCTGATATTGAAATAAAATATGCACTTGAGCAAATTATTTATAAAATGTTGATCATGGAATAGGTTAAAAACAAACGAAGTGCTACCATTTTGCATACAAGTAATGGAAGGGTTTTATATTGAATCTGATGCTGTTGTTTTCTCTATCCATTCCATGGCTGTGATATACTAAATGTTATTCTATTATTAGGCTGTATTCTTACCATTGATTAGCTGTTCTCTCTATGCAGGAGGTGGGTGTTTAATTGGCTGCATTGGGGAGCTGGGACTGTTGCTGAGATTATGGCTGGTTAGTCAACCATCTGGAAATTCTTCTGTTCTTTTAGTACATATTTGATAGTCAAGCTAAATAACTTAAAACGCATACAAAGTCCTAATTTTGTCTTATTGAATGTTACTGTTACTGAGTAGCTAGCTGATGTGGACCACTTCCCATCATTGAGTAAATCCTGTTTAGGGCCAGGAGTTTTTCCTGACCATGTGAATTTACCAGGAAAGGCTCTGGGTCGTATCTATAACTTGTGGTGCGTTCCCGTGCTGTCGGAGTTATCAGAAATACAAAGTTTTACTTGAACAACCCTCCAAGTCATCATATCAAGATTTGTTTTTACCCGAGTTGCCGAGTTGTAACATTTAACCACTGATCTTTCACCTTTTCAACCAAAAGATGTGGATAATGTAGATAGTTTGACCATATTGTCAAGCTAGCTTACTGTATTATTAGCAACGTTAGCTATCTTATCTAGCTAGCTTGAATGTTATTGGTTGAAGAATTGTTCTGACTTCAAAAGCACTTGAACGGAATCATATCGGACTTACAACTTCCATTTTGGGAGGGTTCCCACTTCCGACGAGTACGTGAATGCAGCATTGGGCCCAGAGTTTTTCCTGGTCAGGTCACATGGTCAGGGAAAACTCTTATCCCTTCTCATGTGATACTCACTTCCTGTTGTAATGCAGTGGCGGCCATGTTTTTGGGGATGGGCCAGCAGTCTGTGCTCCTGCCTCACCCCTGGTACCTGCTGGTTCTGGCTGGGTTCCTGGCATGGGTCGTCCTCTTGAGGGTGATCCTTGGGCTCCATAAAAAAGGCTACATTAAAACACGTAAGGAATCGGCATGTTGTTGATCTCCATTAGTTGTGACGTCAGTGAGAATTTGTGAGAAGTTTTCTTTTATAGCTGACAAGTTGAATCTTTCATCAAACTATGAGGTGCAAATACATTAGTTCCATTCTTGCTATATGTCAGTTTAGTGAATTCTTGAAATTACCAGTTATCATTCATATGATTAGTATATCTCTGATGTTAAGACAATGCACATCTTCACATTTATTTCAACCTACATAACAGGTCGTATATGTGTTAATAGCCTATATGCTATTTTAGAAGCTATATTCCTTCAAGGTAAATATCTTTTTAGCACCAATTTCCTGTTTTGTGATTCTGTGACCTTGTTTCCACAGCGAGTGACACTGATGACCAGCAGAGGATTCTTGCTGACCACTCAGAGGGCAGCGCTTGGGTAAGGCCATAAGCACAGATTTAAGGGTTATCTCTGTGAAGCTTTGAAGTGATTTGAAGTGTAAGGGCCAGTAAGAGTTCAGATTTAAAGCCAGAGATAGTTAAGATGGAACTCTCTTCCTGGACATTATGTTTAAATGAGTTAATGTATGTGATTTACTAGCAACTGCTGGTGCAAGGTAATCTTGGCACCCAGAACCAAATCAGCTGCTGGTTTTTAGCTACTCATTTAATATTAAGATTGGTTCAGAATGACCATTTTTATTTGTCTGATATCATAATATTGTGCACTTTTGACAGTTTAATATAATGGCATCCTTTTTCTTCACAGGATGCATGGTTCAAAATCGTTGCCCTTCTTGCCTTTATTATTGGGAATAGCGGGTTCCTGATCAGCTTCATTTACACCATCAGTGGATTGTGATGAATCTGTGAGAATGGCCATTCCATGGTACATGACAACTCACTGGCTGTTAGAATGATGGAGGATCCTGATTCTTATTCAAATTCAGGACACAGCCAGATCAAGGCACTGAACCAGAACTAAAGCTATAAATGGAGTGACAGGAAATGGTAGGGAATATGTAAAAAAAAAACAAAAAAACTGGATAGATTATCCATTTCACACACATACCAAAAGTATTTATGCACTATTGATTTTGCACTAATGTTATTATCCCAACTTCTCAGGGAAATGCAGTTGTACACTCAGTGGCCAGTTTATTAGGTGCACTACCCCATGGAAACCATGTGTTTGATGCATTTGATACCATTCCACTAATACCGCTACAGCCATTACCACGAACCCATCCTCCCCAATTAAGGTGCCACCAACCTCTTGTGGCATCGAGGCATTCAGTTATTGTTCGATTTAACATTAGAATGGGCAAAACGAGTGACCTAAGCAACTTAGAGCGTGGTATGATCGTCGGTGCAAGGCACACAGGTACCAGTATCTCAGAAACAGCCAGCCTCCTGGGCTTTTCACGCACGACAGTGTCTAGGGTTTACCAAGACCGGGTTCCACTCCTATCAGCTAAAAACAAGAAGAAACAGCTCCAGTGGGCACGTGATCACCAACACTGGACAATTGAGGAGTGGAAAAATATTGCCTGGTTTGACGAATCCCGGTACCTGTTGTGTCATGCTAATGTCAGAGTCAGGATTTGGCATAAGCAGCATGAGTCCATGGAGCCATCCCACCTAGTGTCATCGGTACAGGCTGGTGTCGATAGTGTAGTGGTCTGGGGAATGTTTTCTGGGCACACGTTAGGTCCCTTGATACCAATTGAGCAACAATTGAATGCCAAAGCGTATCTGAACATTGTTGCTGACCAAACTCAAAAGAGCATCTTTGGGATGAGATGGAATGGGCTGTTCGCAGCATGAATGTACCGCCATCCAATCTGCAGCAACTGTGTCATGCCATCGCGTCAGCATGGACCAACATCCCTGTGGAATGTTTCCGACACCTTGTAAAGGGGGGTCTGACCCGGTACTATAAGGGTGTACCTAATAAATTGTATATAAATTATTGAAATGCATTATCTCGATACAGCCTTGTCCCATATGAGTTCATGTTTATTACATTTCTTCGAAGTGTTGCTGAATAGCTGTAACGGAGAATGCACAATTTATTCCCACAATCAATTATTGATATCTTAATGAATAACTATAAATTCACTTTTTTTGTTGAATTTTTATCTGCGGGTCAGTTATGTTTCTGAAACTGAAATTATCCTGTAGTAAAATATCAGTAAAAAAAAAAAAGATTGTTAAATAAATGAATGATGCATTAATTTGGAAAGATAAGTATCCCTTCCTGTGACTGTACATGTGATTTTATTTGATTGGCTTTACAGCTAGCTTCCCAGTCAATAACCCAATAAATACACACACCCATACACATTGACAGGCACACACATTTCTAGGTAACAAGAGGACACAGCCAATTATTGTCCTTAATGTCAATCCAACTTTATTTTGGTGCAGCATTATCAATTGAGAATAACAAAAATAAAACAAAAACATTCACCATGAAACATCATAACACTTAAAATAATCAAGAATTCCATTTAAACGATAAAGTATTCACCTTGGAGTTTTGTGCTAGTCTAGCAAGTAATACTAGACCAGCTGCAAACAAAAAATATGACGTAAAGGATTTTTAAAAAGTCATAGTTGAAAAGGCATCTCAAAATGGCAATGTCTGGTCAAGCTTAAAATATCCTATACTATAAGTGGCTATCATATTAAACATTTTGAATTAAGTTAATTATACAGGTAGTCATAATATACATACTTTATTTTAGACCAGCGATAGATTCGTTTTTTTACAGCTTTGTAATACCACATTTGTCATAATATTATTATAGCCTTTTTAATTTAAAGTCTGTTTAGAAGAAAATACAATACAAAAATGCAATAAATATCTTTATTTTGTATAACCAAGACAGTACTTAAAAATATGTACAAATCTTAACCGGACAATATAATAACTTACTCATCACATTCAAAAAGCATCTGGTAGTCCATCTATGTTCATTACATTGTGTCATAATCTCTTACATTTCCATGTACATATTTTTGTTTCACAATAACTTTAAAGCTACAGTACCGGTAATGAATATATTCGAACTGTATCAATAGCAGAACTGGAAAACATCTAGAAAAGTTCAGGAAGTTGGCATCTGTAGTAGTATGGAATGGTATTATTCTGGTTTGATGTTCTTTACTCTTGTTCGTGGTTGACAAATAGTCCTGCCTCCCATCTCTGAGCGATGGCATTCTTTTTCCTTGGTCCTGGGGATAGTGATTCTGGTAACTGGGGGAAAGAGTTTCACCTGTAAAACTGCATGCAGTTTCCGGTTTCAAGGTGAACATGGATGGTGGTTAAAATGGTTAATGGCTAAATAGTATTGGAAAATGTAAAGACCACACTTAAACATGAGCACATGCAATGTTATTTTTGTTGAGGCATTCCGATGACATTTCGTGAGGCAATCAGATGATAAAGAAGCCTTTTTCTAGCCTGGTAATGTTTGGCAATTGACATGACAACGAACACCACAGGTGAATTGACAAAGCACAAACATTTGATCAGGTGACTAGGCTAGCATCTGTTCTTCACACAAATTCTGTTCAATTCTAATGAATTATTATTGGAGGAGATAGGACCTACCCTATGGTCACATGACAGGGTGGAGCGGTCCAGCTTTCGTGTCCTTGATGGTGATGAAGGGGAAGACACACATTTCAGTGGCACTTCTGAAAAAGAAAGATAAACAATTAATACTCATACATTCATATGCTAAGAGACCTATATCATGAATTTGGACTAATTGGGTTTGAGAAGATCACGATATCCTCAGTGTGCTGTAAGTATAAGCCAGGTCAGATAAAAATACCACTAGTGATGCAATGAAAACACAACACAGCTACAAAACACAAACTCTTTTCCATAATGACCATGCACTTCATCAGTAATCAGCACATACCTGCTTTATCAAAGCTCAGGTTCTCCAGGAGGTTGGGGGACACCAGGACGGTGTCGTACTTCTCCCTGGTCTGCGTCTGGCTTCTCTGCCTCCTCCACTCTTCCTCCCTCTGGTTCACCATCTTAATCTCCTGGTCCACCAGGGACATGGAGCTCCGTGAGCGCAGCTTGAAGAAGGGGTTGTTGACAAACGTGCTCTCCTGGGTCTCCTGGCAGGAGGCCGAGCTCAGGCAGAACTCAGAGGCACTCCGGATGATCAGGTTGGATGTCTCCAGAATGATGACATTGGCTGACGTCTCCAAGGGCCACTCGCTGTATCGGCTGGGCCCCGGAGAGAGCAGGGATCCCCGGGTGCGGTGTCTTGGGCTGGTGGGGTAGGAGTCTGGCTCCAGGATGATCACGTTTTGGGCGGTCATCTCATGGTAGGTTGCACCCCTTGGTGTGGGCGATGGGGAGGTGGATATGGAGACGGTTGGGGTCTTTGCGTTGGGAGACCTCAACGGCCTGCATCCGGGATCAATAGAGTCAAATATCTTCCGTTTATCCTCCACCTCCTGGCAAAGACCTTTGCCGTACTTGCCGGGGTAGAGAGTAGTTGGTCGGGTTTTGGAATGTGCAGATGATTCTCCAGCTTGACCCTGTTTGGCAATCTCTCTTTCACGCCTGAAGTTCTCCTCACGCTCTATGGTCTGTCGTATCTCCCTTTCGACAGGGTTGTCTGAGTCCTCGTAAAGGGACCTGTAGCTGAAGTCATCCAGACCTGAGTCTTCTGAACATGGGCTGAACTGAGTGTGTTGAAAGTCACCAAGGGCAAGGCTGTCGATTTCGGGTTCCCTCCTGGGTCGGACAATGTTCCTGACGGGTGTGTACATGGCGCTGTGACCTCCCTGGCATGTCCCCTGCTGTCTGGCAGTGGGCTGGTGGACCTGGACCTCTCCTTGGGTCTGCTCCTCCATTTGGCGCCACTGCTTCCGAGCCCCCTGGAAGTCCACATGCTCTGTACTAATGTTCTTGCTCTTCATTTCTTGTATCACACAGTAGTCTTGAGGAACCTTCTTGTCGGGGTCAGAGCTTGCAGAAGAGCTTGCAGATGTAGAACGACTCACTTTGCGAGTCCTGCCTTGGCTGACTTCTTCTTCATCCTCTGGGATGTTGGATAAGCCCTGGAACTGGCCAGAGGACATATCTTGGTCTTGGATATCGCATTCTGTCAGGCAATCGGGTTGTTCAAGAATGTGAGGACTATCTCCAGTTTCATCCTTGGCCCCATTCTCTGCCTCCCCTGCGGCTCTGTCCTTCTCGAGGGCATCTTGAGCATTTCCGTCACAACCTTCCTCCTTGCTGATTGAAGAGGCAAAAGTGGACCTCCATTGGTCGTCAGCCTCGCTATCTGATGATACGATGGCCATTTCTACCTGGAGACAGTCACTCAGGTCGTCTCGGTCAAGGTCGTGACAGGACCCTGTTGAGACGTCTGAGGAGACCTCCTCTCGGATGCTCTGCTCCAAGATGGACTCTTGTGTCACTGTCACTTCTGATGGAGAAGAGTTGCCCATGTGACCTTGTGCAAGCAGGTCTTCCACCTTACAAATGGGTTCACTACCAAATATACTTGAGGGGTTGAGTAACTCTGTTAGACTGAAGTCATTTCGTCCTGTCTCAAAGTTATGAGTCTCCTCCTCCTCTTTGTTCACCTCAACACTTTCATCATCCTCGTCTGGTTCATCCACTGACGTTTTTATGTTCTCTTTTGTTCCTCTGTATTCTGCGAAAGGTTCTCGGTCACATTCTTCCTCGCTTTCGCTAAGCAGCAGAGGACTCTGGTCCTCTGTTTCCCCAGAATCAATTTTATAGTCTGTTAGGTTCGCCATCTCTGAAAGCTGGCTGGTCTCCATGGCTATGGCCCCAGAATGGGATTCTTGTTCTTCTTGTTTCTCTTGTGGAGTGTCGCTGGCACTGCAGCCCTCAATCACTTCATTCCCCTTTATCCTCTTCACTCCAGCTGTGGCTCTCTATGGAAGTCAAATAAAACATGATCAGAGGAGAATAAGAGGGACACAGAAAAAACATGACTTCTCTGAATACATCAATGAACCTGTCTTGGTATGAGGTATTTCTAATATTTTTCTTCCTTCAATGGCTCTTTTAATGAAGTGTGGTGGTGAGTGGAATTCATTAGATATTGCATCTCAAATAATGAACCCCTTATACCAGCCAGAACCCTCAGTTCTGTGTCAAAATTAAGAGTTTCATTCCAAAATGCTATATATCAATTTTCAGAAATGTTGGTAAATTAACCTTTTGATTAAATAACTTATTAAATAGATTGGTGAGTTTTTTTTTCACCCATCAAATCATGGCATCGGGTTGTTAAATGACAGACATGAATTTCTTTGAAACCTATAACTAGATGGTTTCATTTCAGAGAGGCAAACGATCACATTTTGTTGCAAAATGAGATATATCCACCTTACTATATATATATATATATATATATATATATATATATATATATATATATATATATATATATATACAGTGCATTCGGAAAGTATTCAGACCCTTTGACTTTTTCCACATTTTGTTACATTACAGCCTTATTCTAAAATAGATTAAATAAATTAAAATCCTCAACAATCTACACACAATACCCCATAATGACAAAGCAAAAACAGGTTTTTAGACATTTTAGCAAATGTATTAAAATCGGAAATACCTAATTTACATAAGTATTCAGACCCTTTGCTATGAGACTCGAAATTGAGCTCAAGTGCATCCTGTTTCCATTGGTCATCCTTGAGATGTTTCTACAACTTGATTGGAGTCCACCAGTGGTAAATTAAATTGATTGGACATGATCTGGAAAGACACATACCTGTCTATATAAGGTCCCACAGTTGACAGTGCATGTCATAGCAAAAACCAAGCCATGAGCTCGAAGGAATTGTCCGTAGAGCTCCAAGACAGGATTGTGTTGAGGCACAGATCTGAGGAAGGGTACCAAAACATTTCTGCAGCATTGAAGGACCCCAAGAACACAATGGCCTCCATCATTCTTAAATGGAAGAAGTTTGGAACCACCAAGACTCTTCCTAGAGCAGGCCGCGCCGGCCAAACTGAGCAGTCAGGGGAGAAGGGCCTTGGTCAGGGAGGTGACAAGAACCCGATGGTCACTCTTACAGAGCTCTAGACTTCCTATGTGGAGATGGGAGAACCTTCCAGAAGGACAACCATCTCTGCAGCACTCCACCAATCAGGCTTTTATGGTAGAGTGGCCAGACGGAAGACACTCCTCAGTAAAAGGCACATGACATCCCGCTTGGAGTTTGCCAAAAGGCACCGAAAGACATTCAGAACATGAGAAACAAGATGCTCTGGTCTGATGAAACCAAGACTGAACTCTTTAGCCTGAATGCCAAACGTAACGTCTGGAAGAAACCTGGCACCATCCCTAAGGTGAAGCATGGTGGTGGCAGCATCATGCTGTGGGGATGTTTTTCAGCGGCAGGGACTGGGAGACTAGTCAGGACAGAGAGATCCTTGATGAAAACCTGCTCCAGAGCGCTCAGGAACTCAGATTGGGGCGAAGGTTCACCTTCCAACAGGACAATGACCCTAAGCACACAGCCAAGACAATGCAGGAGTGGCTTCGGGACAAGTCTCTGAATGTCCTTGAGTGGCCCAGCCAGAGCCCGGACTTGAACCCGATCGAACATCTCTGGAGAGACCTGAAAATAGCTCATGCTGAAAGACCCAGCCACGTTTCATCTTCAATGCCCTTGCTGATGGAAGGAGGTTTTCACTCAAAATCTCACGATACATGGCCCCATTCATTCTTTCCTTTACACGGATCAGTCGTCCTGGTCCCTTTGCAGAAAAACAGCCCCAAAGCATGATGTTTCCACCCCCATGCTTCACAGTAGGTATGGTGTTCTTTGGATGCAACTCAACATTCTTTGTCCTCCAAAAACGACGAGTTGAGTTTTTACCAAAAAGTTCTATTTTGGTTTCATCTGACCATATGACATTCTCCCAATCCTGGATCATCCAAATGCACTCTAGCAAACTTCAGACGGGCCTGGACATGTACTGGCTTAAGCAGGGGAACACGTCTGGCACTGCAGGATTTGAGTCCCTGGCGGCGTAGTGTGTTACTGATGGTAGGCTTTGTTACTTTGGTCCCAGCTCTCTCTTGTGATCATTTTGACCCCACAGGGTGAGATCTTGCGTGGAGCCCCAGCTCGAGGGAGATTATCAGTGGTCTTTTATGTCTTCCATTTCCTAATAATTGCTCCCACAGTTGATTTCTTCAAACCAAGCTGCTTACCTATTACAGATTCAGTCTTCCCAGCCTGCTGCAGGTCAAACTTTTGACCTTTAGTGTATATATATATATATATATATATATATATATATATATATATATATATATATATATATATATATATATATATATTTATATATATATATTTTTATCAATACAGTAATATGAGATCTGGATTCTGGTCAGAAGCAGTGCACTATATTTGGAGTAGGGTGTCATTTGGGAGGAGGACTAACTCTAACCAAACATGAGGCTAGATTTATGATGTTGAATTTATATGTTAAATATACAGTATATGAACATTCCATTCCAGCTAAACAATGGATATATAGAGTTTTGCAACAAAACCAATTGCAATGCACTTCTAAAAGCTATGAATGAAAAATCTGAGGACACCCACTGGGCACAGACGTCAATTCAACATCTATTCCATGTTGGTTCAACGTAATTTCATTGACATTACGTGGAAACAACATTGATTCAACCAGTGTGTGCCCAATGGGCAGTACTATTTTACACACATATAAAGGTACCCATAAACATTAATTTCTGATTGGTGGATATAGCGTTTTGGAAATAAACTCTTCAAAGATAATTTCTCCTTCTTGGTAGTATAACCTTCAACACTCACAAGTAGAAATTGGTTAACAGGTTATGACTTTGGTTCTCTGTGATATGACACACCAGGGTTTCACCATGCCACTTTAATTTCATCAAAACATCATCTTCACACTGGTGCTCACCGAGGGTGGGAGGAAATCTTTTGATAGCATAAGTCATGATGAGACATGCTGCAAACCAAGCATGGCATTGCTCTAAGTGGGTTAGCATGATTTCCTTAGTTTCACAGCCAAGCATGTGATTCTGCAAGGGATAACACGTGGATGTCAAAGAATATGCTGCTGACAAAAAAAAAAAATGGCTTGGTGATGGGAGATTGGTGTCTTTAGATGAACATTTGGATGAGGTTTTCATGCAAAACATGCATGCAATGAAATATGGTGGCCAGACCATTTTCTGTGACCCTTAATTTCAGTTTACATGTGATTGAAACTGACTTCTTATTATCATTCATTTTACCCCGCTTTTTTCTCCCCAATTTCATGATTACAATCTTGCCTCATTGCTGCAACTCCCCAATGGGCTCGGGAGAGGCAAAGGTCGAGTCCTCTGAAATATGACCACCAAACCGCGCTTCTTAACACTTGCTCGCTTAACCCGGAAGCCAGCTGCACCAATGTGTCAGAGGAAACACTGTTCAACTGACGACCGAAGTCAGCCTGCAGGCGCCCGGCCCACCACAAGGAGTCGCTAGAGCACAATGAGCCAAGTAAAGCCCCCCCCCTGACAAACCCTCCCCTAACCTGGATGATTGTGCAGCGCCCTATGGGACTTCCGGTCACAGCCTGTAATGACACAGCCTGGGATGCCTGAAACTGACTTCTTGATGAGGGGAGGTAAGCAAATACACACAATTCAGCCTATACAGAAACCCCCACACACAATAGCCCTGACCAACATACAGTACATATTGCTAAGACAACATGTATTGCATGTTGAATACACCCACACACCAATACTGCCAATTCACACCATTGAAGTTGGCATGGGCTACTGTCCACCAGTTGACAGCACTTATTTTTAAAGTCAAGCTTCATAGCGTGTATATTGCCTAAGTTATGTGAAAGCTTGGAGACCACATATCTGCAAAGAATCAACTGTTGCTTTATCTGGAGAGAAAAAAATACATACAATTACAGCGTTGTGTGTGTGTGTGTGTTTGTTTGCGCACATGTGGACCTGCGTACTGTGACTGTAATGGTGTTTGGCAGAGAACGGAATAAACCCATCTGAAAGAACAAATTGGATCCATTATGTAAGGACTAAATACCTCGCCCCCGCCATTTCGGTTGTGTTCCCCATAGCGTTTGAACATCCTGGTCCTGGTACTACAGAACAGGAAATCAGTACATTCGAGCCCTCAGGGCATCCAGCCCAGCCTCCATCCACAACCCTATACTAAGACCTGGATTCAACCTGTACCAGTGATTTATCTATAATGTGGTAGCAATATTATAATAATAATATAATATAATATGCCATTTAGCAGACGCTTTTATCCAAAGCGACTTACAGTCATGCGTGCATACATTTTTGTGTATGGGTGGTCCCGGGGATCGAACCCACTACCTTGGCGTTATAGTAGATCGTTGGAGTAGAGTACTGCCTGTATAGTTTCCAGTGGGAAGCTCTTAACGTGGTTTTGCTTCTCCAATCTCCAGTGCAGCACCATACATGCTATTCGTCCCTAATTGCTGTCAAGCACATCTACAGTGGCTTGTGAAAGTATTCACCCCCCTTGGCATTTTTCCTATTTTGTTGCCTTACAACCTGGAATTAAAATTGATTTTTTTGGGGGGGGGGTTTGTATCATTTGATTTACACAACATGCCTACCATTTTGAAGATGCAAAATATTTTTTATTGTGAAACAAACAAGAAATAAGACAAAAAAACTGAAAACTTGAGCGTGCATAACTATTCACCCCCCCAAATTCAATACTTTGTAGAGACACCTTTTAGCAATTACAGCTGCAAGTCTCTTGGGGTATGTCTCTATAAGCTTGGCACATCTAGCAACTGGGATTTTTGCCCATTCTTCAGGGCAAAACTGCTCCAGCTCCTTCAAGTTGGATGGGTTCCGCTGCTGTACAGCAATCTTTAAGTCATACCAAGATTCTCAATTGGATTGAGGTCTGGGCTTTGACTAGGCCATTCCAAGACATTTAAATGTTTCCCCTTAAACCACTCGAGTGTTGCTTTAGCAGTATGCTTAGGGTCATTGTCCTGCTGGAAGGTGAACCTCCGTCCCAGTCTCAAATCTCTGGAAGACTGAAACAGGTTTCCCTCAAGAATTTCCCTGTATTTAGCACCATCCATCATTCCTTCAATTCTGACCAGTTTCCTAGTCCCTGCCGATGAAAAACTTCCCCACAGCGTGATACTGCCACCACCATGCTTCACTGTGGGGATGGTGTTCTCAGGGTGATGAGAGGAGTTGGGTTTGCGCCAGACATAGCGTTTTCCTTGATGGCCAAAAAGCTCAATTTTAGTCTCATCTGACCAGAGTACCTTCTTCCATATGTTTGGGGAGTCTACCACATGCCTTTTGGCGAACACCAAACGTGTTTGCTTCTTTTTTTTCTTTAAGCAATGGCTTTTTTCTGGCCACTCTTCTGTAAAGCCCAGTTCTGTGGAGTGTACGGCTTAAAGTGGTCCTATGGACAGATACTCCAATCTCCGCTGTGGAGCTTTGCTGCTCCTTCAGGGTTATCTTTGGTCTCTTTGTTGCCTCTCTGATTAATGCCCTACTTGCCTGGTCTGTGAGTTTTAGTGGGCGGCCCTCTCTTGGCAGGTTTGTTGTGGTGCCATATTCTTTCAATTTTTTAATAATGGATTTAATGGTTCTCCGTGGGATGTTAAAAGTTTCGGATATTTTTTTATAACCCAACCCTGATCTGTACTTCTCCACAACTTTGTCCCTGACCTGTTTGGAGAGCTCCTTGGTCTTCATGGTGCCGCTTGCTTGGTGGTGCCCGTTGCTTAGTGGTGTTGCAGACTCTGGGGCCCTTCAGAACAGGTGTATATATACTGAGATCATGTGACACTTAGATTGCACACAGGTGGACTTTATTTAACTAATTATGTGACTTCTGAAGGTAATTGGGTGCACCAGATGTTATTTAGGGGTTTCATAGCAAAGGGGGTGAATACATATGCACGCACCACTTTTCCATAATGTATTTTTTAGATTTTTTTTAACAAGTTATTTTTTTCACTTCACCAATTTGGACTATTTTGTGTATGTCCATTACATGAAATCCCCCCCCAAAAATCCATTTAAATTACAGGTTGTAATGCAACAAAATAGGGAAAACGCCAAGGGGGATGAATACTTTTGCAAGGCACTGTACTGGTGTCCCTGACTGCTTTATTGTTGAAGATCAAGTCCACTTGATGTGAATCTTATATTCTCGAGCCAACATACTGTATATAAATATACTGTAGCTTTGGAACGGTTGCCTAGAAACTTGCTGATATGAAAATCCAAGCCCTCCTGGGGACAGCTTGTACAGTGTAAGAGATGCTTTTTCGTATCTTTCATCCTCTGGGTCAAATTACATGTACATAGAGCTTTGTTAAATGTACAGCTCTCTACCATAACCATAATGCCTTGATTTATCAGATGGACCAGATTTATCTTGAAAGATACAGCAGGGACAGATGTTGAAAATTAGCATAGCCTAAGCTATACACACACCATCAATAAATGTACATTTTACTGAATATCCATTAATAATTATGAATGTTGTACAGTATGGTCGAAAAAACGAGGAAAACATGGTTCTTTGAGTGCTTTGCAGTCAGTCAAATAACAACAGGCCTGGCAACTCATTTCACCTTCACAGCCATGTATCTTTGTATGTCCATGTCATGTGTACTGTTATATCATGACCACAAGGCCCATGATATGAACCTGTAGGCTACACATCACAACTGATAGGAACATGGAATCTTCTCTATGCACAGCCTTTGATTATCTGCAGACACAACAAAGATGAAATCAACAGGTTATAGCAAGATGAGATCCCTCAGTTCTCCTGTTATGTGGGGGGTTGAAAATCCAACTAAAAGATGACTTGATTGTTGAGTATAAGGAGATCCCCCCCAACATCCTCTCCCTTGTTACATCAAAAGCTGACATTTTCCTAGGATACCCAACCAATGGGAAAAATAGCCATCATTGGCAGTGATAGGATGTGAGAGAAAATATATTTAACAGAATGAATGCTTTGCTGATAATAAATGTGTAAAATATCTTAACGTAAAGTTAATATTTTCTTTTTCATAAAGGCAAACCACCTGTCATATGGCTGAGGACCGAGAATATTTAGGATGTCAGCTACAAAAGTCACGCGCAAAATGCTTGGATACCCCACTGCGCAAATTACAGACATTTCAACCATTCTGCAACGGGAATGTAGATAGATAGTAAAGCCAGACAAATGCCCAGAATCGTGATAGATAAGCTCACATATCAAGCAAAATTCATGCGGTTCATGTACCCATCCAAGCCTTGCGCATGCTGCCAATAAAAAATAAAACTGTCCATGGCGAACAGATGCAGCATATGTGGATAGCATAACATATCTGGTACCTACCAGCAGTCTCCAACAGAGCAACCAGAAGGATATCATCTCCAATTTACCGAGGCGCCTACATATTATTTGAACTACACTGACAAGTGGAGAACTCAACCATGCGGCCACCCGTCGCGAGTAATTCAGGTTTGATTTGGAGAGGGAACATATTTGCGTTTCTGTGGGTGTGTGTGGTGGGTTTCGGTTGGAATGATCGATCTGCATGGCACATTTGTCTGAAGTTAACTAGAGCAGATGCGATAAGTATTGGCATAAACGCCACTGAAATGATTGCATCGCACGCGACTCCCCGCTCTTCTCTCGCAGCATCCTCCCCAGTCCCCATACAGATAGATACGTTGGGCGCGCATGCATCGACTTCTGCAGCATCCAGCTATCGCCCCCAGGCTCCATCTCTTTCAAGGACCAGCTATTGAGCGTTTGATTTTGCCCACGCACATTTTAAAACACTGTCGATCTCCATGACCAAGGTCACTGTTGCTCTCTGAATCATAAGCTCACTGATTTATTATTTATTGTGGTCCTTTAATTTTGTTCTGTAAAGGGCTTAGTCTTATACCTTAGCTGACAACTTTTTTCAATGTTTACCTTATCTAAACTCTTTCTCTGAAATGTGAGTGAACCATCTCTGTCTGGTTTTGTCCATACATTTCATTCCTATGACCCCTAAGGTCATGTGTTGGTCTGTCTGGGTTGTAGTATTAACATGCTGTGGCTACAAGTGGAGAATTAGAACATCTGTATATCTTTCCATGAGAAATCCGCTTCAGCTGTTTCAAAGATAAGCCAGAGCTGAGTGGTGCCAGTGAAGCCTCGGGTGATGACATGTATTTAAGACTAACCCCTAGACACATTTGACTCACTGCCATTAAAAAGCCATTCAAATCTGGATAAATTATGGATTTTTAAGTGAGGTGGATTCTGTTCTGTGCCCAATGTTTGGGATCAATTGTTCACTTTAGACACTTTGTGATAAACGAGGCATTCAGTTTGGCACACACACAGTATGTCTACCATTAAAGGTGTTAATTAATGAAAATAGGAAGATAACCCCATAAACCACCATATCTACCACATACCTACAACAAATAAATACAACACACAGTTAGTTCTAGTGGCCCAAATTGGTTAAAATGATATACCCCTTATATATCCCTATTTTGTAATGAGAATGGCCTGTAAACTCTGACCTTTTGGGTTCCAGGGTGCATTCCAGCTGTACAAAATACCTGAAACTGTATGTCAGAGTAGCTTTCAAAAGCTCTTCCTCAACTCTAAACAACTTTGCTCAGCCATCCATCCAGCAATAAAACCTATAAAACTAATAAATAATTTAAACCAATTATACACTTGACAACCTCCAGTGTGTGCAGGAAAGCACAGTGCTGCTGTGAGTGTTTCTACAGTTTAATCCACCGTCTTGTATTTTCTCCTCAGCTCAGCTGGCTCACTGGAGCAGAGATTTTTTCTATCCACTTCACCCACACACTGAAGCCACAGCAAGAACAGAATCAACCAAATATCAATAACACAACGTATTTATGTTTAAGCGTAGCTCTCTCTCCCTCTCTTTCTCTCTCAATTTGTCTCTCTGTATCTTTCATTTTTTCTCTCTGTTTCCCTGTTTCTCTTTGTCTCTATCACTCCTTATCACTCTTTTTACCTTTCAGAACACTGTCCGAGCAGTATTTACTCAATACTCTGAACTGTTAACCATTTCTAGAAAACTGTAAAGTGCGAAGCAATTTAGTGAACTTCCTACTTTGGTCACTGTCTCTAAAGTGCCTGTAATGATTCTCAGCCTGATGCTGAATAACTAGGTCATGACCAAATGTCATGGAAACAAAGTAAGTGTTGTGTTGCTGCTCTCTTACCTCTCCGGGTCTTTCCACAGTGATTCAGGTTTTGGCTGGTCCAGTGGTGGAGTGATGAAGTGGAGTGTGCTTGTCTGTATATGTCTGACACACACACACACACACACATGCCACAGCGGCAGGCAGCGACACAAATCGGGTGCGTGGGAATCAGCCAATCACAAAACAGCAGTTTTGGTGACAGTTGTTACACACACATACTATTTGATGTGGTATTACAAGCATGTCACCAACAGCTGGGATGAACACAAAGACTCCCCCACACAGCCTCCTACACAGCTAGCTGTTAGCTACTCCCCCACACAGCCTCCTACACTGCTAGCTGTTAGCTACTCCCCCACACAGCCTCCTACACTGCTAGCTGTTAGCTACTCCTGTCAGGGATTTTGAATGGTAGAAGAGTCACTACATTTCATGAATATGGATTTTCTCTAGCATCACATTTTATCTTTCCTCTATAAGATCAGTGAATATAATTATATTGGTCAGTAAGAAACAGTGGGGTACTAAAAGTAATTCTAGATTTCTGTACAGTATTTTAAAATGGATATTGACATATACCCATAGCGTCCTCCCCTTATGCTTAAAGTTAATGTCACATTATAACCACATTCTAATTAAATCTAAGCCTATATCAAGTGACTTAAGAAAAGCTCAATTTCATTGCCTTTGTAATATAACAACAGTAAAACACCCAGATGTATGACAATTTGCTTTTTTATTATTTTGTTAGCATGATTATCTTTTACAAATATGCTCCCATGTTACAGTTTCAACAGCATATAATATTGAGGCACTCCATAAAGGTTTATTAGCATATCAAAAGTGCTGACTAGTAGCTGACAGCAGCACCAAAGGCTAGAGAGTACAGTAAACATCAGAGGCACTTACATCTTCAGGAACATTGAGCAGATTTAACATTTAAGATCAGAGATTCATTTCAAAAGTCTACTTTTCGGGTGGTTTCTTTCTCTCTAAAAGACATCATTGGTCAGTTTTCAGCTGTGTAAGGAAACATTATGAGAAAACATATGTTTTACAGTATTAGCCACATCCTTATATTGACAATATATTGAGAATATTTTGAGAAATATCCAAATACAAGGCTCTGGTTTTAGCTATTGATGGCATCTCAGAAGTGCCCTTTTTGCTGTTTGTTGAATGTTTTGTGCAAAGTTGATTTTCTTCTTCTCATGGAACTTGTAGGGTTGCTGAGTCTTGCATGGTGTATTTTTACACAAACTGTTCAGGTTTCTCCATACTTGTAATTGAAGCTGTGGGGAATGTAAGAGAAAATGACACACATTTACCATATCACCTCATATCACATCAATTAGGACTAATTCAGATTAGTTGTGCTATGTTTCTATTAATGTAACTCCTGAAAATAACCTCATGACAAAAGTATGGGACAGGGTTGTGTTCAGTACGACAGAATGGTGTGCAACGTTGAATTCAACAGAAATGGTAGAAGAGTCCAGTTAAAAAAGGTTGTGATACCAAATGGTGGGGCATATTGACCACACGGTCAAGCAACGTAGTAAACATTGAAGCGAACTGAACGCACCCCAGCTCTTTCTGTGAAGTTTGGTAATACCCACCTTCCCATAGCCTACTCACCAAGCAGACACAGTTGTTAGGAAAAGGACTGTCTGAACCAACCACAAGACTTGTGAGCTAAGATTGGTGTATGTCCTCAGTTATGTGTCAAAAGCCTATTAGTTCGGGAGACATCCGTGTCTAATGATCTGATTGATGTCTGGACTGTTAAGACCATTAAGGTCCAGACCGTCCACTGTCCGTCTGTGTGCTCAGAAAGATTATGAAAGGTGACAGAGGGTGAGAGTGTTATTGGACACATGGTTGTGTTTGTTTGTGTGTGTGTAGTCTCTGTGTGGGGACATGCATTAATGATAAATAAAGCAAACATTGAAATATGCACAAAATAGTTCAGCAGCACACACACACACACACACACACACACACACTATATGCACACACCCATGTACTCACACAATCAAACAGATCATTGTTACACAAGAGGAGTAAGCCAGCTAATAATTAGTAAATTATTGTTTAAGTTACAGGGCAAGCAATCATGCATACTACTGTAAGTATACAGAGGACAGTCATGGCATACCAGCATTGTAATGTAGAAAATAGATTCTAGAAAACACACATACAAATAATTAATATTAAGTTAGTACAAAACAATTATTTAGTCAGTGCAATGTACGTTCACACTAGTGATTTACAATATGTCAGTAAAAAAGTCAATTTTATCTTTGTTACCCAAAAGGAATAAACAAAAAAATATCAAATCATATTTTACATATTATACAAGCAGTCAAAGACCATTTGGCCTCACTTAGGAAACATAAGGTTACTTGCGTAACCCCGGTTCTCTGATATTATGACTGAGATATCTCACATGATGGATTCAGCAGAATCTCATCAGCTCTAAGAACCAATCAAACATGTCTGTCGGAGAGAGACAGGTCGAGTGGTGAATGAGGTGAGCCCCTTCCCTCATACTAAAGATGAGTCCCAAGTTCTCTCACGTCACCCCCCTCCTCCGCACACTCCACTGGCTTCCAGTTGAAGCTCGCATCCGCTACAAGACCATGGTGCTTGCCTATGGAGCAGTGAGGGGAACGGCACCTCTGTACCTTCAGGCTCTGATCAGTCCCTACACCCAAACGAGGACATTGCGTTCATCCACCTCTGGCCTGCTGGCTCCCCTTCCTCTGCGGAAGCATAGCTCCCGCTCAGCCCAGTCAAAACTGTTCGCTGCTCTGGCACCCCAATGGTGGAACAAGCTCCCTCACGACGCCAGGACAGCGGAGTCACTCACCACCTTCCGGAGACATTTGAAACCCCACCTCTTTAAGGAATACCTGGGATAGGATAAAGTATTCCTTCTAACCCCCCCCCCCCCCCCAAATTGTAAAGTGGTTATCCCACTGGCTATAGGGTGAACGCACCAATTTGTGAGTCGCTCTGGCTAAGAGCGTCTGCTAAATGACGTTAATGTGCCCTTGAGCAAGGCACTTAACCCTAATTGCTCCTGTAAGTCGCTCTGGTTAAGAGCGTCTGCTAAATGACTAAAATGTAATGTAATGTAAATGTAAATGTAAATGTAAGGGATGCCCAACGAGCTGCATCGCAAATCTCCTGTAAGGAGATGCCCTTGAACAGCGCCCAAGAAGTAGCCATACCTCTGGTTAGAGGTCTTCACAGGTCCAAAAAGTTGGACTCATTCCGAAATGGACCTGGGGCTTTCCCACCCAGACCCGCTACGCATAAATAAATGTACAAAATATAGAGACCCGTTCCGAAAAACTAGACTTGCTTCGAGGCAAGCAACACTGAAGCATGCATGAGAGCATCAGCTGTTCCGGACGACTGTGTGATCACGCTCTCCGTAGCCGATGTACGTAAGACCTTTAAACAGGTCAACATTCACAAGGCCGCAGGGCCAGACGGATTACCAGGATGTGTACTCCGAGCATGCGCTTACCAACTGGGAAGTGTTTTCACTGACATTTTCAACCTGTCCCTGACTGAGTCTGTAATCCCAACATGTTTCAAGCAGACCACCATAGTCCCTGTGCCCAAGAACACGAAGGTAACCTGCCTAAATGACTACAGACCCATAGCACTCACGTCTGTAGCCATGAAGTGCTTTGAAAGGCTGGTCATGGCTCACATCAACACCATTATCCCAGAAACCCTAGACCCACTCCAATTTGCATACCGCCCCAAAAGATCCACAGATGATGCAATCTCTATTGCACTCCACACTGCCCTTTTCCACCTGGACGAAAGGAACACCTACGTGAGAATGCTATTCATTGACTACAGCTCAGCGTTCAACACCATAGTGCCCTCAAAGCTCATCACTATGGGGTCGGTGTGGAAGACAAACCACATTGGGCTACTCTGCGCACTCTCCGATGGTGGGTGTTAGCAGGAAAATCCCTACAATGATTGCAAGGCTCTACAAAGCGTGGTACGCTCAGCCGAATGCACAATTGGGTGCTCACTGCCTGCCCTCCAGAACACCTACGACACCGGTGTCGCAGGAAGGGCAAAAAGATCATCAAGAATCTCAGCCACCCGAGCGACAGCCTGTTCTCCCCTTTTCCATCACTCAGACGCGGGCAGTATAGGAGTATCATGGCAAAAACTGTCAGACTGGCTAATAGCTTCTACCCCAAGACCATCAGGCTGCTGAATAGCCACTAGGCAGCAACCCCCCCCGCTGCTCCCCCTATGGATATTCAACTCCCCCCAACAAAGAATTACCCTGCCCCCAACCCCCAAAGGACATTTATCATTGTTACAGCTGTAAATATGTACATATTTTATTTATTTATTATTGTTTCATTCACTTCTCCCTTTGCTGCTCCCACTATGGACATTCTACACCCCCCCCCCCCCCCCCCAAAGAAAACGTAACCTACCTCCAACCCCCAATGGACATTTATCACTGCTTCAGTTGTAAATGTGTATATATTATTTATTATTATTATTGTTAGTTTTATTATTGTCTCATTCACTTTTCTTCTTTTTTTTACCTGCACTGATGGAGCTCGGAGCATAACAATTTCACTGTACCTTGCGATTACATCTGCGATCCTGTGCATGTGACTAATAAACCATCTAATCTACAAGGGCACATGATTGGGGATCGTCGTCTGTTGCTTGGCTCCATGGCTCCAAAAAACAGCTAATCTGAGAACAAAGTGAAACATAACTTGCATTCGCCACGTGGGCTAATAGCCTAGCTATTTAGCACAGTGCTAACCGGAGAAACGAATCCTTTAACAATGTGAACGTAGCTAGCATTCGCCTTGTGGGATAGTAGCCTAGCTAGTTAGCACAATGTTAGCCAAAGGAAGCTAGCGCTATGTTGGTCTTGCGATGAACAAAAGTGTGGCTCTTGACCGATAAGCAGTGAAAGCTAGGATGGTCGGTCTAGTCAACGCGGCACGGTAGTGGGTTGAGCTAAACGAGAGAGCGAGCTAGTAATTGTACCCTTCCAGGTAGAAATACCAGTCGGTAGAAAAACCAGTCAGTAGGATAGCTAGCATTGCAGCTAAGCTAGCCAAGTCTCAGTAGCCACCACAGGAGACAAAGGGAAGAAAAGGCGGAAAAGCTCATTCCTACCCAAAGCGAAAACGTTCCTTTTGGTAAAGTCACCCAACACAGAAGACAAAAGCTGAAAAACCTGCGCTTGGTGGCCTAACCTCACAGCACACCTACGAACAGTTGAACAGGAAAACAAAGTCATGCTAAGGAGAGCTTAGAGTAGTACTCTACATGAGGAAGAGAGGTGAGAATGACCAGAGGGCGGGCAAGTAGCTCTTTAGAATGAGGGGAGGGGCTCACCTCATTTGCCACTCGACCTGTCTGTCTCCGACAGACGTGTGTAAATGGTTCTTCAAGCTTATGAGATTCTGGTGAATCCTTCATATTAGATGTTGAAACAAATACTTAAAAGAGAACCAAAGATACAGTACAACTGCCTCTCAGACATTAGAGGGAGGCAGAATGCCTCTCAGCCACTAGAGAGAGGCAGAGTTTGACTTCAAGCATCAAAACAAGCTCTCGTATGGATACGCAACGTCACTATGTATTTATACAGTGATAAATTGTGATTAGAATGAGAGTTTCAGGTCAGTCTGTGTTGCAATGGTTAAGACAAGGAGAAACTGATGCAGCAAAGAAGCCAAGTAACCAGCATACAGTTCAACACACTAGCCAGCCAATGAAAGACCTCAAAAGTGCTGTCAGTCAAAGCAAATTAAGTGACATTTGTTAGTTACAGTAGTGTCAGCAGTTGCAGGTTGGTTACATGAGCGTGCAGCAGGGCTTTGTTCTCTTTTTAATATTTTTTATATTTCTGATACCTGGGGCAGAGTGCTTCTCTGTCCTGTCCTCGTCGGACTGTTCGTCTGAATACAGGTAGTGTGCCTCTTTGGCCTGTTGACCAGGGTAGACCAAATTCTTTGACGCTGTGTACGGTGAAGCATTGTTTGAGTTAAAATTTGCTGTGGGCTCTGCCATGTATTTTATTAAGTTCTGTTGAGGTTGACAGTGATGGTAGCCCCGGTTGTTGTAGCCATCCGGGGTGTAGGTGTTGAACTGAGGGTTACTCTTGTCCACCCCATCCTCGTCGCCAATGACGACAAGCTCGGCCCGGATGGATCCTTCATAGCCAAGACCACGTCCGCTGTCATCCTTTGCGGTCTGGTAGCCCATAAAGATGGCGGTGACAGGCTCGGACGTGTCCATGGTGTTCAGGATACTGAAGTGCGAGTCTTCCTGGTAGATCGGGGACGGCTTCCGGTCCATTTCAGCCAACGAGTCGTAGAACATCCCGCCTCGCTGGCTCTCTCTAGGGATATGGTAGGAGTCGTGGGTGGTGAACCCTTTCTCCACACCGTAGGTGAAAGGATTCTGGTTGTACCCGTTGTTTGGCTGGTAGTACTCCTCGTCCTGCCTGCCAATGAAAGAACGGACTGGAATGTGAGGGGAGGAGGAAAGACTCTCCTGCCCTGAGTAGTGGACTCCATCAATATAGTGGAGCTCCTTCCTGGAGAGGACATCACGCTTATACGACTCTTGCTGATACCCGTTCCCGTTGGTTCCGTGGATGACTTTAGCATGACTCTGTTGGGGTCTGTTGGGGGCTGAGGCCCTCCTGCTGCAGGTTTTGGAGAATGCAGGCACTGATTCCTGGTGGCCCCGGTGGTCTTTTGGGAAAGCCCCGCTTTGAGGCATCTTCTGCACTGTAGCCTTTCGGAGCTGCTCCTCCACCTCCACAGGGCTGAGTCCCTGATGGCCCCGAGCTCCACAGGGGGTGGAGAATGCAGACATTGATTCCTGATGGCCTTGGTGGCCCAGTGGGCTGCGTTGAGACTTCTTCTGCTCTGTAGCTGCTCTGAGCAGCACCTCCACCTCCATAGGGCTGAGCTCGTCCACTCTGTTAGAACCATCCCCCAGCTGAGACTCATCAGACCGCAGGGCATAGACAGACTTGCGGCCGTCGTCATAGACTTTGACCCCTCTCTGCTGGAGCTCCTGGGGGGTGACGGTGGATGTGGACAGGACCTGAGTCTCCCCAGTACGGAGGTCCTTCTGGACGTTGATCTCCATGGCAAACATGGCTGGAGGAGGAGAGAGGGAGGAGAGACAGAATGGAAGAGGAAGGGAGAGTTGGAGAGAGAGATGGGTTGAAGTTAGATAAAAATAGGGTTGTGTCAGATCTATAGTACATGCTAATGTTGTAATAAATGTTACTATGAAGTTTCTTACTTTGTTTGGGTGTGTCCTTATTATATTCAAAGGACTGCTTCTTTGAGATTAGAGATTTGTAGGACTTTGGGGCATCTGGAGTAGCTGTGGTGATATGGATTGGCTCTGCAAAAGAAAAGGAGCAATGTTTATTTTTGTATTGCCAATGATTTATGTGTATAATTTAATATGTTTGAACAAATACAGTCATGACCGACATTATTGGCACCCTTGATAAAGATGAGCAAAAAAGACTGCATAAAATAAATAATACAAATACTGAGCTATATTGTATGCACAACAAAATGGGAAAATTAGATTATGTTATACTAATACAATTGCTCAGAGAAATATATATATATATATTTATTCTCAAAAAGATAGGTCAAAATTATTGGCACCCCTGTTTTCAATATTCCGGCACCCTCCCCTTTCAAGAATAACGGCACTGAGCCTTTTTCTGAAATGTTTTATGAGATTGAAGAACAGATTGGGATGGATCTTAGAACATTTCTCCATACAGAATCTTTCCAGATTCTTGATATTCTTTGTGTGCGCTTATGGACTGCCCTCTTCAATTCAGATCAAAGGCTTTCAAAGGGGTTCAAGTCCAGAGACTGCGATGGCTATTGCAAAATGTTGATTTTGTGGTCAATTAACAATTTATTTGTGGAATTTGATGCTTGCTGGGCCTAGTTTCAGCCTCCTGCCAGAGGCAACTAGGTTTTTGGCTAAAATATCCTGGTACTGGGTAAAGTTCATGATACCGTTGACCTTAACAAGGGCCCCAGGACCAGTGAAAGCAAAATAGCCCCATAACATCAAAGATCAACCACCACATTTTACAGTAGGTATGGGGTTATTTTCTGCTTATCGCATCCTTCTTTCGACGCCAAACCCACTACTGGTGTGCGTGGCCAAAGAGCTCTATTTTCATGTCATCTGACCATAGCACCAGTTCCAATGCTAGTGCCAATGCTGTTTAAAAAACTTCAGCCATTTACATTTGTTAGTTGACATGAAAATAGAGCTCTTTGGCCATGCACACCATTAGGAACCTGTAGGACATAGTCATGACCTTAGGGGCGAAGGCCATATTAGGACGCAATGTCACCTTAGAGTCGCCAGGGGCGAACTGAATACAGGAACGGTGTACGGATAAGGCATGGAGATTCCCAACGTGTTTAGCCGAGGCGAAAGCCACTAGCAAGGAGGTTTTGTAGGAGAGGATCTTCAGATCCACAGACTCCAGTGGTTCAAAAGGGGGCATAACACAGAACATCCAAAACCAAAGCTAAATCCCAAGTGGGCACAATAGGTTTAGAAACCTGTCTGAGACGGCGCACACCCTTTAGGAACTGCACCACCAGGGCACGAGCCACAGACCCCAAATCTCTGGCCGAGGGACCCAAAAATCTATGACAAGCCCTCCAGGCGCACCCTCCCCAACATGGGCCGAATCAGCTCCACGGGGGTAAATGCATAAAGGAGGGTCCGAGGCCTCATCGAGAAAAACAGACGACAGTTTGTATTCTCGCAATGCTGAGCATTTCCTATATTTGACCGGTTACAGGATCTGAGGCATTTGAAGCTGGTTCCTACTTCACAGTAGGGCCATAAAAATTTATTTATTTTGTTGCAGAAATGCCTTCTTGAACATGTGAACTTTCATGTGCATTAATTACAAACTTGTATGGGATCTGTAAATATTAATACAAATGTTAAATGCTCAGCCTAGTTGAGCCAAGGAGAAAGCACTGAGCTATACAGGGAGAAAGATAGGATCCTTCCTGGCTATTCATGATTGGCTGAGATAATGGCGTGGTTGGACATGCAGAGAGATGAGCCCTGATTGGTCTGTCATGTCAAAGGCTTCTGTCTATAACAGAATGGGCTCTTCCCTGGTCAGTATATAGCTAATACTTGCTATCGCCGATTTTTTGAAAGATACAGTATAGCTATCGACAACTGCAAAAGTGTTGCTGCAGCTCGCAAAAACATTGCTGCCCTGAGTTTAGCTGGGTTTAAGTAGAGAAACTACTTTTTGGAGGGCAATGCCATGCTGACTCACATGCTTTTACATGTGTGGGTGGGGCTAAGGCTTAAGAGGGTATGAACGATGCTAGAATGGGCGTAAACAAAGAAGAACTCTCTAGGAAGTGTAAAAATCTCATCAAAAGGGCATTTTCTCCTGCTTGTCTTTTAAGTGGGATAACAGGTTGATCAACTTTTAAAGCAGCATAACTTTCCTATGTTTCCTCCAACTACAGTGTACGATATACAATTTTGAAGCCTGCTTCTGGAGAAGGTAGGATATTTTCTCCCTCAAAACGAGCGCTGAGACCTCGGGAACAGTCGACGTGATAATACTGCAGAAGCGCAGGACACACACAACAAATTATAGCCCGTACCCCAACATCACTGTTCTCATGATCCAGTGCGACACTACATGCAAACTAATGGTCAGAGCAGACAGTGAGCCTCCCGTGAAGTGCCATCTGAAGGGGTGAGACGCCACCTTGTGGACTGGGAGAGAATGGTTATTTTTCAATTTCCACCACTCTTGACATCCGTGTGTCTGAATTTGGAGAAGAGACACTTTTAATTGAACTTACATGATGGAGACAGAACACTTTCGACACCCATGAACCCTGTGGAACCTGGGGTTGAAAAAACAGTGTTTTTCTGTGCTACGGTTTGCTTAAAGCCTGGCCCACTCTGGGTACAACGGCTCCGGCCATCAGCGACGTACCCCAATTGGCAGTGTCACTTGGAGGTACTGTTGTCACAACAAGCCTCACTTGGTTTAGGCAGTAAGATGTGTTCTGGTAACCGGCTGGCACCCAGTGTAGGACCGCATGCATTATAAATAGACCCAGGGAAAAATCTGTTATCATGGAGGTTACGCTACCAACCAGTCATGGGTACTGGCGACTAAGCGTCTTGTAACCCACCCGGGAATGGGACAGACAGCTCTGAAAAATTGACCCATTCTATGGTAACAGACAGGGGCAATTCGTAATTGAATCTAATTCCCAGGAATTAAAAGTGTTGAGCTGGAGACAGACAGCTCATTTCGGGGTTCATAGGAACCACAGAGACTGTGTGTGGGATAATAGCATTGTCGGGTTCAACCCTCGACTCTGCTACCAACAACCAATCACCTATAGAACCCATAACCTGCATCACTAGATACCTCATAGGGTCTAGTGAGCTACAGGCAGGAATCAGCAATGAATCCCAGTAATGAGACACCTATGGGGGAGGGGTGCCCCCTTATTACTCTCACTCTGGGGAGATCAATATGCCCCTTGAACCCAGTGGAACATGGAGTAACAGAGGGGGCATTAAACATGGACAAGCTCCGGCAATGGCTACATATTATCCTGTTTGGCCGTAACCAAATGTTCGGGGCACTGTTGTCATAGCAATGTTTTTGTGGAAGGGCACACTGGTTGCTCAGACCCTCACTTCGGGGGTTTACCCGAACCAAGGGCTCGGGGGCTGCTTCCTCCTTGGAGGTGCACGCAAGCCCCGCTTCCTCCACCTCCAGGAATTGGAAATAGGAATGGAGTTGTCATAATTTACATTTTAGTCATTTAGCAGACGCTCTTATCCAGAGCGACTTACATGAGCAATTAGGGTTAAGTGCCTTGCTCAAGGGCACATTGACAGATTTTTCACCTAGTTGGCTCGGGGATTAGAACCAGCGACCTTTCGGTTACTGGCACAACGCTCTTAACCACTAAGCTACCTGCCGGGCTGGCACGGTTATAAGCTTTGCTTGACGTACCGATTGGTTTCATACAATCACTCGCAACACTGCAGCAGACTTCCTCGTTTGTTTTGTGTTGAATTCAGGCATAACAGTGACCTCTCACAGAAGTCCTCCACCTGTGAATCCGAGGCCATGATTGGGCACAGAAGTCCTCCACCTGTGAATCCGAGGCCATGATTGTGCTTCCATTGTGGATGTGGTAGATAAGCAATCTTTATTTGCATGCAATTAACATATATTAATATGCATGGAATTTCTTCTGACAGTGGAATAACTATTCTGGCGCGCTGCATTAAACAGAGGCATGCTTCACCCGCACCGTTCCCAAAGAGCAGCAGAGGCTGCTGAATTATCGTCAAAACGAGGCCAATAATTTGGACCCCTATTTGTCGTTTTTTAAAAACTTGTTAAACAAAATCTCTTTCTCTGAGCAATTGTATTAATATATTAATATATATGTGGAGCATACAATATAGCTCAATATTTTGAGACCTTGTAACTATAAGGTTCTATCTGACATTTTTGTCAAACATTTGTTAGTCACACATAATTGATCTTTAGATGGTTCTTCATAAGTTAGATTTTTTTATAAGAACATTTTAAATTTAAATTTATACTTTATCTACATAGCCCAGAGTCAGATGAACTCGTGGATACCATTTGTATGCCTCTGTGTCCAGTATGAAGGAAGTTAGAGGTAGTTGTGTGAGCCAACGCTAACTAGACTTAACCCAATAACGAGACTTCTAGCGCTAAGCAGCAACTTCCTTCAAACTGGACATAGAGACATAAAAATGGTATCCACGAGTTCATCTGACTCTGGGGAAGTAGATAAAGGGCCTCACTGCCAAAATCCCTTAGAATCCCTTTAAGTGAAAACATTTCAAAACTAGAAAGTTCTATCTGCATAAACCCATTTGAACTTGGCACTATAAGGTTCTAGCTTCAATCCAATCACAAGCCTGAAAAAATACAGATGGACCATCTCCCTCTAAGTATGGACTAGGGGGCTAGTCTAGCCAGCAATAATGGCACGCAAGCAAAAAACCAACACTGTCAGAAATCTTAAAAGTAAATGATGTTGTCACATTGTTGTTCAGTGATGACAGTAATTCGTCTGATGATCATAATACATGTTATGTATTTGATTATGTGTTCTGACTCTATCTTGGTAAAATAGTGTTATTCTATCATTTATGTATTCAAATAGCTACAGTTTTCTTAAAAACTGAACATGTCTAATTCAGAGGTGTCAGATAGAACCTTATGGCTGAACCCAGATTGACATTTCAGAGCCATAAGGTTCTGTCTGCGATTCCACCCCCCTAAAAAACAAATTTACAAATGTCTCACGATTTTGATACTCTGCACTTTAGCTACCTTTAAGGTGTGGATATGGGTTATGAAAGAAGAATTCACTACAAAAACAGATCTGAGATCTGGGATGTGAAAAATGTGATGCTGAATATCTCAGAACTATGCTTTGCACAGATATAACCTTATCAACAGCTTGTCTGTCATTATTGGCACTAATGTGAAGTCACGATTTGTATTATCTATTTTGTACAGTCTTTTTTGCTCATCTTTGTCAACGGTGCCAATAATTTCGGTCACGGAAACGTAATCAGCAAGCTAGCAAAAGGACTTACCTTCTTTGAAATTCTCCTTTGCTTCCTGTAAGATAACATAAAACAAGATACTAAAAGTCACCAACCTCAAATAAAACTTTCAGATACAACAGTGTTAGATCTACATCTACAGTACTCTAATTATGGCCAAAGCAAAACATCTAAGACAGAAATAGCTCAATGTCAATAAGTACCATACTGTCCAAGTACCTTTATTATCTCCTCAGGTGTTTTCTCGATAGCTTTCAGCCTCTTCAGTATGAAGCCCTCATTTTTTGAAATCATTGTCTCTTCCCTCTCCAGAGCCTCAATCTCTTTCTCAATCCTGCAAGCCCAGACAGAAAGGGTCAAAGGTCATATCACCTCATAGACGAGCGGAGTAGGGGTGAGGAACGGATCAGTGAGCTGACTGTTTTCTCATCTTCTGAAAACTTTCTGTTCTGACTGTAATTTCATCAGAGGTGTAACTTAGCAAACTGATCATGGCTGGCATCAGACAGACTTTGGGTCAACGGCCCCGGTATCCCTCCTCTGCCAACCCCATCAAAGCTGTGCCATTCCAGCCAACTGGTACAACCCTGCCACTTTGACACCTACAGTCCAAATGGCACAACCCCAAAGCGGTACCACCCTAACAGATTGGCACCTACTCTGTGAAATATTAACAAGTGTCTATTGAGTGGAAGGGGGAGTGCAGAATGAGTCTATTTGTAGATGTCCTTCTCTTTTAGTAAAGAAACAAAAAAGGCCAGAACACTATATCACTCCTTATGCCACCTTTTAATAATGACAAATGTTTCAATCCTAGGTGGTTTTCGTTAGGTAAAAACAATTTTTACTTCCATCTCAGTTACGGGAGTTGGTGGACCTAAAGATCACTCTGCTGCTGTCTTATTACCAGCACCTTTTCAGGGAACGCACTGACGGTCACTTGGTCAAATTGGTACACATCTAAGGGATTTAGGTCTAACTGGACAGTGGATGGACTGCCCTTCACCACAGACAGTCCAATACATGTTGTCTTCAGGGTGTTGATGCAGTGTGATACAGTGCCTGGCCCTTGAGCATAGAAATCAAATAAATAGAACAGGCATCCCCATTTACTTCAACTACCTCTACTAGCCGGTGCCCCCGCACATTGACTCTGCACCGGTACCCCCCTGTATAGCCTCCCTACTGTTATATTATTTTACTTCTGCTCTTTTTTTCTCAACACTTTCTTGTTGTTGTTTTATTTTACTTTTTTATAAAAAATAAATGCACTGTTGGTTAAGGACTGTAAGTAAGCATTTCACTGTAATGTCTGCACCTGTTGTATTCGGCGCATGTGGCCAATACAATTTGATTTGATTTGATTTGATTTAAAAGCATCACTTGACTGTAAGTGGTACAGATGTTTTAAATGAGTAAGATATATAACACTTAACCAGCACAAATGAGTAAGATTTATAATACTTAACTAGCACTTGCATATAACACATAACCAACATTTGCTAAAAACATTTCTCAACATAATAAGGCCTGTATTCGATCAGGCAGCCATGTTAAACCAGCAATGTAAACATAGATCAACATAAACATAAACATAAACATTAAAAAAACATAAACATAGATAAACATGCACAAATGGAGTATGTTGTCTTGGCTTACTGTACCTGTGGATGCTGGTCTGGAGGAGTTTAGTTTGCTGTTGATCTCCCCTCAAAGTTTCTCTCTGCTGTGGGCTTTGGTTGCTCGCTCCATCCATGAGCCACTGCTCCCTCAGAGACTTTTTCTGTTCAAAGCAGATGAGGAAACATTATGGCTTAAGTGTCATGGCTGACATATTATTTTTTACGTGCTGATATGTCTTTTAATGGACTGCACAACTGCAGTGACTATAAAATATAAAACTGTCAGCAAGCTTTAATGCCTGGAATTCTCACTGTCATTAGATATTGATTTACGAATTCATCCAATGTTGTTGAAATTATGTGGTCTGACTATTTATAAAATAAACTATAATTTGATCACTTCATCACATTATCGTACTGTACCTTTAAGTGCTGAAGCTTTAACTTTTCCTTGTCTATTTCCAGCTTTTTATGAACAATGTCTTCTTGGACTTTTCTCTTATCCTGCAGATACAATATAGTTATGAATCTTACTACAGTACTTGAAACAGGTATTATTCAGAAGTTGATTTGCTGTAAGAGGACCAGACTGATTCCAGATCAGTTTACCGTTATTGCTTGGAGTCGGTCCTTTACCAGTTCTGCCTCTTCCATACTGACCCTGGATCAAAGAAATTGAAAAGTGAGGGGAGGAAAGATAATAGAAAAACTAGAATAAAAACAGTATCTAAAAAGTGATGATTTGACACGGACACCACTATATACACTACCGGTCAAAAGTTTTAGAACACCAACTCATTCAAGGGTTTTTCTTTATTTTTACTATTTCTACATTGTAGAATAATAGTGAAGACATCAAAAATATGAAATAACACATATGGAATCATGTAGTAACCAAAAAAGTGTTAAACAAATCAAAATATATTTTATATTTGAGATTCTTCAAATAGCCACCCTTTGCCTTGATGACAACTTTGCACACTCTTGACATTCTCTCAACCAGCTTCATTAGGTAGTCACCTGGAATGTACTTTAATTAACAGGTGTGCCTTCTTAAAAGTTAATTTGTGGAATTTCTTTCCTTCTTAATGCGTTTGAGTCAATCAGTTGTGTTGTGACAAGCTAGGGGGGTATACAGAAGATAGCCCTATTTGGTAAAAGACCAAGTCCATATTATGGCAAGAACAGCTCAAATAAGCAAAGAGAAACGACAGTCCATCATTACTTTAAGACATGAAGGTCAGTCAATACAGAACATTTAAAGAAGTTTGAAAGTTTCTTCAAGTGCAGTCGCAAAAGCCATCAAGCGCTATGATGAAACTGGCTCTCATGAGGACCACCACTGGAATGGAAGACCCAGAGTTACCTCTGCTGCAGAGGATAAGTTCATTAGAGTTACCAGCCTCAGAATTTGCAGCCCAAATAAATGCTTCACAGAGTTCAAGTCACAGACACATCTCAACATCAACTGTTCAGAGGGGACTGTGTGAATCAGGCCTTCATGGTCAAATTGCTGCAAAGAAACCACTACTAAAGGACACCAATAAGAAGAGACTTGCTTGGGCCAAGAAACACGAGCAATGGACATTAGACCGGTGGAAATTTGTCCTTTAGTCTGGAGTCCAAATTGGAGATTTTTGGTTCCAAATGCTGTGTCTTTGTGAGACGCGGTGTGGGTGAACGGATGATCTCCGCATGTGTATATCCCTCCATAAAGCATGGAGGAGGAGGTGTTATGGTGTGGGGGTGCTTTGCTGGTGACACTGTCTGTGATTTATTTAGAATTCAAGGCACACTTAACCAGCATGGCTACCACAGCATTCTGCAGCGATACGCCATCCCATCTGGTTTGGGCTTAGTGGGACTATCATTTGTTTTTCAACAGGACAATGACCCAACACACCTCCAGGCTGTGTAAGGGCTATTTTACCAAGAACTAGAGTGATGGAGTGCTGCATCAGATGACCTGGCCTCCACAATCCCCCGAGCTCAACCAAATTGAGATGGTTTGGGATGAGTTGGACCGCAGAGTGAAGGAAAAGCAGCCAACAAGTGCTCAGCATATGTGGGAACTCCTTCAAGACTGTTGGAAAAGCATTCCAGGTGAAGCTGGTTGAGAGAATGCCAAGAGTGTGCAAAAGCTGTCATCAAGGCAAAGGGTGGCTATTTAAAGAATCTCAAATATAAAATATATTTTGATTTGTTTAAAACTTTTTTGGTTACTTTATGATTCCATATGTGTTATTTCATAGTTTTGATGTCTTCACTATCATTCTACAATGTAGAAAATAGTAAAAATAAAGAAAAACCCTTGAATGAGTAGGTGTTCTAAAACTTTTGACCGGTAGTGTACTACTTGAAAGTATTCAAAGACTATTTTCAAAAACCTGGATTAAATGCAGGGGAGTGTATTTGAGTCAGTGTATTTGAGTATTTTCAAATACTTTCTAAGAGTATTTCTAAATACATTCCAATATTCAACTACTTGTCTTTTCAAAAAATAAATATATAAATACATACTTCCAAAGTCATTTAAATACCCTAAATAGTATTTGAACCCAGGTCTGGAAGCCTACCTGACCAGACCTGAAACAAGAGTCTGGTCTAGCCACTAGCACACTCAACTGTATTTCTGGTCTGAGAGAGAATGGCATTCAAACCCCTCAGATCTTACTCCAGAAATGTTCTGGCGTACAAGGCAAGAGTCTCCAAAATCGCTATATCAATTGGGAGTGGTATTGATTTTGCTGTAAGTCGAGTCAACTGGTATGCCGATACGCATACTTACAAACATCATGAGGTGCAAAAATGCATGGACTTTATGGACTCTGTCACATGCTGTCAAGGGTGCTTATGTGGTGCTTCTGTGTGGTGATAGTGACTGGGATGACCTATGGGCCTGAAATGGCATGCCACCACCTCCCTGATCTCCTTACATCTTTCCACGAAACTCTAGCCTTGCTGCAGACTTCCTGTCTCTCACCATGCCCCACAGATATTCTAGCCAGGCTATATCCTCAGACAGATAGCACCTTAATGGGATGACACAGCAGCAGCCTCCACATCTGCTCTTCACATAGAGGTATGAACATGAAAGAGATAGCAATCTGATAGGTGAGTGGAGTATGGGGGCCTTCCAGATACTGTCAAAATAATTCTGTACATAACTGCTTATTCCTTTCTGATTCTGCTAGTCCTCTAACCGGGAATTCTGAAAAACCTGGGAATTTGCAATTTACAAACATTATGAACACCTGCTCTTTGCATAACATAGACTGACCAGGTGAATCCAGGTGAAGCTACGCTCCCTTATTGATGTCACTTGTTAAATCCACTTACATCAGTGTAGATAAAGGGGAGGAGACAGGTTAAAGAAGGATTTTGAAGCCTTGAGACAATTGAGAAATAGAGGGTGAATGGGCAAGTCAAAAGATTTAAGTGCCTTTGAACGGGGTATGGTAGTAGGTGTGTCCAGGCATTGTGTCCAGGCACTGTGTCCAGGCATTGTGTCCAGGAATTGTGTCCAGGCATTGTCAATATGTTTTAATCTGTGCAGACCCAGATGCACCACATTATACTTCTCAGTCTAGAGCCAGATGAGGATAGAACAGTATTTGGTCCAACACCATAGTAAACTAGAATTAGAGAGTCAGACCAAAGTCTTGCAGTTACTAGAATCTAAAACAGCATGAAGTCAGTGGTGGTCGGTGCCGTTTAAGATTAGGGAGAATTATACTTTTTTTATGAGCATGGCCTTATTTCTATTACAGTCCAACATCAGTCCAACTGTTGCAAATGGGAGTTTCGATGGACAAATGTATCCCGTTTGCTTCTGTTTAAGAAACGTTTCTCAACAGAATCGGCGGAATGAATACACACCTGATCAAACGCAAACACAGTTCATTTTCATAGCAACCACATAAAAACAGCATGATCACTTTGCTCGTTGTATATATAATTCCTTCTCACTACCATCTACGTGCTCTCCTCCTCTCACCTTTTCCCTTAGTTCCTGTCACCTTTTTCCTTCGCTTGTGGACTTCAGTGGACAACACATCAGCTGTCTCTGACCAGACTAAAACATATTTCCAAGCCAAACCTTCATATCATGACTTCTAACCGCTACGCACAGCCTACATCATTGTCACATAATAGTCAACATATCTACTAGAACTAACGCATTAGTAAACCCGCTACAGTCATGCAGTACAGTGTACAGTCAGAAAGCAGTTTAGCAGTTACACCGGCGGGCTCCGGTGGCAATAAATTAATAAAACCAAAAGCTTACCTTGACTTGGAAAAGTTCCAGTGTTGGATAGCCATAGCCAGTTAGCTAACATAGCATCCCTCTCTGTTTGAGCCAGGTGTTTGAATAGGCTAAACAAGCTAGCTGCATTTGCTAGCTAAGTGAAAGTAAAAATAAATACAACCAAATATAGCTAGCTAGCTCTCTCTCTCTCTCTCTCTCTCTCTCTCTCTCTCTCTCTCTCTCTCTCTCTCTCTCTCTCTCTCTCTCTCTCTCTCTCTCTCTCTCTCTCTCTCTCTCTCTCTCTCCTCTCTCTCTCTCTCTCTCTCTCTCTCTCTCTCCTCTCTCTCTCTCTCTCTCTCTCTCTCTCTCTCTCTCTCTCTCTCTCTCTCTCTCTCTCTCTCTCTCTCTCACTTCTCCTTAATTTTTGAAGAAATTAATTTGTTCAAAACTGTTAAACTATTGTCTTTCTCTCTCTTTGAGTCATCTACTCATCACATTTTATGCACTGTAGTGCTAGCTAGTTGTAGCTTATGCTTTCAGTACTAGATTAATTATCTGATCTTTTGATTGGGTGGACAACATTTCAGTTCATGATGTAAGAGCTCTGATAGGTTGGAGGACGTCCTCTGGAAGTTGTCATAATTACTGGGAAAGTTTATGGAAGGGAGTGAGAACCATGAGCCTCCTAGGTTTTGTAAGTCAATGTACCCAGAGGAGGATAGAAGCTAGCTGTCCTCCGGCTACACAATGGTGCTACCCTACAGAGTGCTGCTGAGGCTACTGTAAACCTTCATTGCAAAACAGTGTGTTTTAATAAATTATTTGGTGACGTGAATATATTTAGTATAGTTTTATCTAAAAAATATAAAGTTTTTAATGTTTCACTATTTTTATTTTTATGAAATTCACTGAGGAGGATGGTCCTCCCCTTCCTCCTCTGAGGAGCCTCCACTGTATGAAGTCCATATGGAATGGCATTCTGTCAGATCAGAGAATGATTGCAATGAGGAGCTATATCTGTATGTATATCACATCCAATGTCTCCGGTCTCCCCCCAACATTACTGAGGCTGGGTGAGGTACGGTGCTGCTCAGAAAAGACCTTGACAACAAGCCAAGGGGTGGGAATCACTGTGGTAGAACATGATAAAGATGCTCCCATCATTATGTCCTCACCAACACAATATGCCAGAGGAGCACCAATTGCCATCTTTCACCACACAACACTCAATGTTTCCCATGAGGATGAAATGGGGAGAGGCATATACAGTACATGCAGGGATACAGGGGTGAGGCATCTACATACAGTACATAGAGGAATGAGCTGGCCAAACCACGCCTCTTGCATTGCATGCTTGTATACTGAAGCTCTGTCTAAAAATAAGAGGTCAAAACAGCAAGTGCTGCATTCTGCTGCGAATAATGTGTCTGTCTGTCTCTTCAAAACAGAGATAAGCAAACAGGTGATATCACTGTTTAGAACTGAAGTACAGTTATTGTTCTTCATTTACATGTTATACATTTATTTTGGATATTCTGTCAAGGCATCGGAGATACACTATTCTGATATCGTAGGATGAAATTGGGTGATGTAGAAACATTTGGGCTGCTGTTATGGTTATAGTAGCTATTACATGTTATTGACATAAAGCCTTTGTGATTCAATATTATCATGTGGCATACAGCCAGTTATGCCTATCATGATTACAACACGTATCATCATCACACAGCTCTGTACATCAGCTTTCAGCATAAACAATTAAATTCAAGAATTGAAAAGTCCTTCCCTGGTGAAAAATAAAATTCAAAATAAAATTTCAAACAAGAAAAAAGCACAAAATCCTAATTGAAAATGAATGGCACTTTTCAATTATTTAAGTGGAATTTCCATTAATCTCCTGGATAGACTAAATTGAAATGGTACTCACTGACCCCAACCCTGGTCAGCATTGTGAAGTGTGCGATATATCCTCCCACGTGTGACTAATTAGGCTAGGCACCCTTTTGACCCTTAGGTCATCACTTCTGTGAAGTATTGGAAAGTTTAAAACCTGATGAAAGACCTAAGCAACAATGCATTTTTTACCTGGCCTGATACATCACACTCAGGGCTGGCTCCAGGCATAAGCGTCATAAGCGATCACATAGGCCCAACCCAATGTTTCTCTTGTTGTCAGTCACTGACAGTCACTCAATTAGCCATGTCAGCTAACAGAGCCGGCCCTGATCACACTTGGTAGCATAGTACACTATACTGCAATACGCAGACTCTTAATTGCTTTTCTTTCCTTTTCTTATACTTGAATCCCCAGCAGCTGCCCAGAACAATCGGATGTGTTTCAATCTCCCTATAGTGAAGAGTGGAAGCTCTAAACTGTGATGGTCAGTTCCTTTTAAGCTGCCTGCCCTAAGCTGATCACTGGTGACTTATCCAGGCAGCAAATCTGCTGGGGCATCTGCTTCCACAACAATAACTGCATGGACACATGCCTTTTAAAATGGCACATGGATGATAGTCAAGCAGTATTCAAAATGTAGTAAACAATTAAATGTGCACTCTTACTTCATTTTCTTTATGCTATTATTTGATGGGTGTGTATTTCATTCCAATGGCAATATGACTGATAAGGGCCCATGCAAAGCATTTGTCAATAATATAGCCTGAATGCCAATTAACCAATTAACCAATTATGCACAAACAATGAGACAGAAGTACTGTATATCCTAGGCCTATTATGGTACTTTTCCAAAGTCATATACAAATAGCCTATACATACAAGTAATCAAATAAGGGGAGAACAAGAGCTTGACAAAGTGACTAAGATATAGTCGAATGTGAATGTGCAGTTCTCGCATGAGTGAAACAAGTGTCCCAAGTAAAAGTTCCTATAAGATTAAATCCCCATGCCTTCGCATGCTATGACAGGTTCTGAAGACACCCAACAGACGGCGAAAACTGAAACGGTTTAAGTGAAGCATTAAGAGATTATTGGAGACCCCGCAGTGCCCCTGTCCAATTGTTTTATATAGGCAGGCATAAAGAAAGAACAATTGAACATAAGAGTGAAATTATGTTGAAATCATTAAAAAGTATAATGTACATAGGTTAAAACCTATACAAAGGTATAACGTATTGCATAGTTAATATAACGTATTGTAATGTGCTAAACTTAAACTATTCTTCATAATGACAGCTATCAGTGTGCGCTGTGCGCTCGTGCCCAAATTCTACAACATTGCCGAACAAAAAGTAACGGTTTTAGAAAATAGCAAGAACACTCACCAGTTATATACGTGAACAAGTGCAGGATATAGTTCACTATACTTCTCAAAAGGACAGCGCTCTGTCCCGCACAACGCGATGGTCAGGTACAGTGTGTGGGGATTGACCAGAGCCAGGGTTACGCATGATTGGCAGCTTGCCTTTACACCAATAGCAACAGGGCAAGTTCAATGACTGGCGGGTTTAACTGAAGCATTGAGAAAGCCATGTGCTCGCTCTCATCATCTCACCAGTGAAACAAAGCTCCTCTTTGCTTTCTTTGTAAAGTTCCACATTTCCAACCTTTTCTCAAAATGTGCGCAGCTGTCTTTGCTTTGGTCCTCCTTGACCTTGACAGAGGTGAACAGACACCTAGAAAATTAATTATGTGAGAAATGGCGTGGAAACGCCTTTATGCGCAAATATTGATATAATATTAATATAATAATCATCATATTGAAGTAAACTGTTAAGTTTGTTAAGTAAAAAAAAATTAAGCAGTAGGGAGGCTATATACAGGGGGGTACAGGTGCAGAGTCAATGTGCGGGGGCACCGGTTAGTCGAGGTAATTGAGGTAATATGTACATGTGGGTAGAGTTAAACTGACTATGCATAAATAATAAACAGAGTAGCAGCAGCGTAAAAGCGTAAAAGAGGGGGGTGGGGGTGGGGGGGCAGTACAAATAGTCTGGGTAGCAATGATTAGCTGTTCAGGACTCTAATGGCTTGGGGGTAGAAGCTGTTGAGAAGCCTTTTGGACCTAGACTTGGCGCTCCGGTACCGCTTGCCGTGCGGTAGCAGAGAGAACAGTCTATGACTAGGGTGGCTGGAGTCTTTGACAATTTTGAGGGCCTTCCTCTGACACCACCTGGTATAGAGGTCCTGGATGGCAGGAAGCTTGGCCCCAGTGATGTACTGGGCCGTACGCACTACCCTCTGTAGTGCCTTGCGGTCGGAGGCAGAGCAGTTGCCATACCAGGCGGTGATGCAACCAGTCAGGATGCTCTCGATGGTGCAGCTGTAGAACCTTTTGAGGATCTGAGGACCCATGCCAAATCTTTTCAGTCTCCCGAGGGGGAATAGGCTTTGTCGTGCCCTCTGACTGTCTTGGTGTGTTTGGACCATGATAGTTCGTTGGTGATGTGGACACCGAGGAACTTGAAGCTCTCAACCTGTTCCACTACAGCCCCGTCGATGAGAATGTGAGCGTGCTCAGTCCTCTTTTTTTCCCTGTAGTCAACAATCATCTCCTTTGTCTTAATCACATTGAGGGATAGGTTGTTATCCTGGCACCACACGGCCAGGTTTTGGACCTCCTCCCTATAGGCTGTCTCATTGTTGTCGGTGATCAGGCCTACCACTGTTGTGTCGTCAGCAAACTTAATGATGGTGTTGGAGTCGTGCTTGGCCATGCAGTCATGGGTGAACAGGGAGTACAGGAGGGGACTGAGCACGCACCCCTGAGGGGCCCCCGTGTTGAGGATCAGCGTGGCAGATGTGTTGTTACCTACCCTTACCACCTGGGGGCGGCCCGTCAGGAAGTCCAGGATCCAGTTGCAGAGGGAGGTGTTTAGTCCCAGGATCCTTAGCTTAGTGATGAGCTTTGAGGGCACCATGGTGTTGGACGTTGAGCTGTAGTCAATGAACAGCATTCTCACGTAGGTGTTCCTCTTGTCCAGGTGGGAAAGGGCAGTGTGGAGTGCAATAGAGATTGCATCATCTGTGGATCTGTTGGGGCAGTATGCAAATTGGAGTGGGTCTAGGGTTTCTGGGATAATGGTGTTGATGTGAGCCATGACCAGCCTTTCAAAGCACTTCATGGCTACAGAAGTGAGTGCTATGGGTTGGTAGTCATTTAGGCAGGTTATCTTTGTGTCCTTGGGCACAGGGACTATGGTGGTCTGCTTGAAACATGTTGGTATTACAGACTCAGTCAGGGACATGTTGAAAATGTCAGTGAAGACACTTGCCAGTTGGTCAGCACATGCTCGGAGTACATGTCCTGGTAATCCGTCTGGCCCTGCGGCCTTGTGAATGTTGACCTGGTTAAAAGTCTTACTCACATCGGCTACGGAGAGCGTGATCACATAGTCATCCGGAACAGCTGGTGCTCTCATGCATGCTTCAGTGTTGCTTGCCTCGAATCGAGCATAGAAGTGATTTAGCTCGTCTGGTAGGCTTGTGTCACTGGGCAGCTCGCGGCTGTGCTTCCTTTTGTAGTCTGTAATAGTTTTCAAGCCCTGCCACATCCAACGAGTGTGAGAGCCGGTGTAGTACGATTCAATCTTAGTCCGGTATTGACTCTTTGCCTGTTTGATGGTTCGGCGGAGGGCATAGCGGGACTTCTTATAAGCATTGGGGTTAGAGTCCCGCTCCTTGAAAGCGGCAGCTCTACCCTTTAGCTCAGTGCGGATGTTATCTGTAATCCATGGCTTCTGGTTGGGGTACGTACGGTCACTGATGCACTTATTGATGAAGCCAGTGACTGATTGTGGTGTACTCCTCAATGCTATCTCTCTCTACTCCTCAATATGGGGCGGCAGGTAGCTTAGTGGGTAAGAGCGTTGTTGCCAGTAAACCGAAAGGTGTCGCTGGTTCTAATCCCCGAGCCGACTAGGTGAAAAATCCCTTGCGATGTCCCCTTGAGCAAGGCACTTAACCCTAATTGCTCCTGGTAAGTCGCTCGGGATAAGAGCGTCTTGCTAAATGCTAAAATGTAAATGTTAAAATGTCTATCTGAAAGAAATCCAGGTAACAATGTTCCAGTCTGTGCTAGCAAAACAGTCCCTGTAGCTTAGCATCGTGCATCATCTGACCCACTTTTTGATTAAACAAAGTCACAGGTGCTTCCTGCTTTAGTTTTTGCTTATAAGCAGGAATCAGGAGGATAGAGTTATGGTCAGATTTGCCAAATGGAGGGCGAGGGAGAGCTTTGTATGCGTCTCTGTGTGTGGAGTAAAGGTGGTCTAGAGTTGTTTTTCCTCTGGTTGCACATTTAACATGCTGGTAGAAATTAGGTAGAACGGATTTAAGTTTCCCTGCATTGAAGTCCCCGGCCACTAGGAGCGCTGCCTCTGGATGAGCGTTTTCCTGTTTACTTATGGCCTTATACAGCTCATTGAGTGCAATTTTAATGCCAGCATCGGTTTGTGGTGGTAGATGGACAGCTAGGAAAAATATAGATGAAAAGTCTCTTGGTAAATAGTGTGGTCTACAGCTTATCATGAGATACTCTACCTCAGGCGAGCAAAACCTCAATACTTCCTTAGTATTAGATTTTGTGCACCAGCTGTTGTTTACAAATATACACAGACCGCCACCCCTTGTCTTACCGGAGTCAGACATTCTATCCTGCCGATGTAGCGTATATCCTGTTAGCTGTATGTTGTCCATGTCGTCGTTCAGCCACGACTCGTGAAACATAAGATACTACAGTTTTTAATGTCCCGTTGGTAGGATAACCGTAATCTTAGGTAGTCCAATTTGTTCTCAAATGATTGAACATTGGCTAATAGGATTGATGGAAGAGGCAGTTTACTCGCTCGCCGTTGGATCCTTACAAGGCACCCCGACCTACGTCCACGATATCTCCGTCTCTTTCTCAAGCAATTGACAGGGATTTGGGCCTTGTCGGGTGTCTGTAGGTTATCCTTCGCGTCCGGCTCATTGAAGAAAAAATCTTAGTCCAATACGAGGTGAGTAATCGCTGTCCTGATATCCAGAAACTATTTTTGGTCATAAGAGACGGTGGCAGAAACATTATGTAAAGAATAAATTACAAATAACGCGAAAAAACACACATGATAGTACAATTGGTTAGAGGGCTGTAAAATGGCAGCCATCTTCTCTGGCGCCACGTTGTCAACTCACAGGAATGGTGAAAGTGCACGGTGATCTTGATGCTCCTTTCCAATAAATATCGTGGCTCTTATTCTGGTGACATGATGATCGATGCTTGTCTATCATTTGACAAATACAAATATCCTCGCTCTTATCCATAATAATCTCATAATGTAGACTAGCCTACCCGTACAGCCTACTCACAGCGTACCCGCACTGTATCTGCTAGCTGTTGGCTAGAGCGCACGGGCCAAGAGAGTAGGCATGTTTGCTATTTAATGCAACAGTTTTTGTAACAAACTATGGTAGAGTTGAAAATGCGATGGAAAGACATTAAACATTCTATTTTTATTCGGTACATGAAAAGTGAAGCGAAAAAGTACATTATTGTGTGCACTATGTCATCACACAGTGATTTGTATCAGCCACAAGTCCTTTTGGTGCATAGCGAATGATAGATGCCTCTAGTGTCCAAAAGGCTGTTTAAGTGTGGGCATCGCCATTGAGGGCTTCCACCATGCTTCTGACATTTTAAAGTAGTGTGGATTCCTATTGGTTGTAGCCTCAATGGCGTTGCCACAGACTCTATAATGGCACAGATATAAAGATGAGTCCTCTATCTATCTCTGTGGTTTGGTGGAAACACACCACTATTGGTGGGAAAATTCACATATTGTCTTTATGCGGATTCAAGAATATTCGCATGAAAATCTGTTTCCAATTGAATGGAAACAATAGTTTTTACGCACAGCCATTCTGTGTGTAAATGTGATACTGCAGTGCAACCCCCCCAATGTTTTATTTCAGGATTTTTCCATTTCTGAATCTATTTCATATGTCATTCAAGGGAATGTTTTGGAGTTTTTTATTAACTGCTTCCACCCTGGGACAGACAGTGTCCACCCATAGCACATGCATGTTTACTGCCAAGTCATTAAAGAGGCCATAAATAACTGACACTCTCTCCAAGCAGAACCATCATGCAGGCATGAGGGGACAGGTGTGGGAGTGTAGCTATGGCAACAACACACAACTCTCCAAATACCCATGTCTTGTCTGTGTGTGATGTTATCAAGTTTTTCACTTGTGGCTTCTCTCTCTGCCTGTTTTCTCTTCGGTGCTCAGTGTATTTATTTCTGTTTGCGAATTTCCAGGAATGCATTTTTGGGCTATGTTGTAGTCTAGCCTGTTTTGATATAGGCCGAATTGTTTGAATTGTGTGGTACCTTGCCTTGGGTTGGGGGCCTATTTGGTCAGATAAACTGCTGATGAAAATAAATCTTCAATCACTGATTTTTGAAATCCTCCTCTTTAATACAT